CCATCAAGACGACTCGGCGAGGGCCCGACCGCTTCGGTCACACCAGGAGCCGATGGACGACGACGACGGCGGTGGCTAGCTGTACCGACGGTACCACGCGACGATGGCAGTGTGCACGAAGGCGACTCGCAAAAGCGACGGCGGCGGAGACTGCAAAACACAACGGGCGAGCGGATACAGCTGCAGAGCTAGGAACACGGAAGTCAGCATCGCCGGACTCGCGAAAACGGATAACGTTTCAGGGTCCGGCGATGTGCGACTCCAGGACGGCCACCGGACGGGTGACTCGGTCGAGAGCCAGGGCGAAAATCGCGTGCGGAGGATCAGGACCTTTGCGGCGTGCTTTGCTGCGAGGTCCGACGATCCTCTCGCTGTGTTTTCGTGGCAATCGGTCGGGTCACGTCTCCGGTCGCCGGCCGATTCCGTAGCTTCGAAGCAGCTGCCTCTGCTCGCTCAGTGTTTTAGGTTTCCGTCGCCGTCGCCACGCATCGGTCGTCTTCAGTACCTGCGCACCGTCGATGCGCACAACATCGCGCACTAGCCGCTCGCCGTCAAATCGTCTCATCGCTCCCGTGGCCGTCGCGGTCGGGACTTCGCCAGCCGTCTTGATGGTCGTCACCCGTGAGCAAACGCACTGGCGATAGCACTCGTCCGCCTGCGGGATGTGCCGCGAAAAAGTATAGAGGTGACCAGTAGCCAGCATATTGCAGCTTTATGCACCTCGCCATCACGTACCGCTCCCCCTGCTTTTTGTGTCTTGTCTGGTGTTTCCCCCCCCCATTAGGCCACTTTGTGACAATTATACTTAAAAAAATAATATAAAATTACAAAAAAAATAAGAAGATATCAAAACAAAAAATAAGAAGATACGTCAAGTAAAAAAACAAAAAAAAATATTCCACTTTGGACCGATTAAATATTGAAAATCATGAAAAAATACAAAAAAAAATATAAGATATATCAAGTAAAAAAACCAAAAAAAATAATAAGATATAAAAAAAAATTAAAAAAAAATACTTTTGATTGATGTACTTAAACTATAATAAATATTATTGTAAAACTACATTTATTTTGTTGAGTACACAATAAACTTATTGTCTATACAAAAATAAAACATTGTTTCTTTTTTTACTTATTGTAATTACAGTATAACACCATGGTGTTAAATTTGAATTCAATGATATAATATCATTGTATAAGAAAAACGATTCTGAGCGAAAACGGTCAGTCAGCCATAATGATGTTACTAAGTATATATTTTGATGATATTATTATTGTGAATAAAGTAATTTATATATTTACCTATTTACCTATTTTAAATCCTTAGCTATAAGTTGAACATTTTATACATTTTTAACTACAAATAATTATTCAATTTTAAATTTGATAAATGTTGTCAAAATTCGATCTTTAAATGCTTATAAAAAAATTGTGACTATGTATATTTTTAATATTTTTCAACTGATATTGTAACAATATATCAGGAGCCTTGTATTAAATGTTTACACTTTTTGGCCCAACAGATAAAACTTTATTGATATTTATAGAAAAAAAAACTAAAAAAATTTAAAACTGAAAATGTCCGTAAACAGCTCAAAAAGAGTCATAATATTTTCAAAATTGTATGGTGTATAGGAAATTCTAATATAAACATTTAATGACATTTTCATGTATCTACAGTTTTTGGTTTTGTATTACAACAAAATAAAGAAATTGCTACATGAGAAATCGAGTGAATATCCAATGTTGTAAAGTTTCAATTTCAAACGCTCATAAAAATTTAATTTGACTTTCTTATAGACATTTTTTTTCTTTTGATAAAGGTAGATAATCTTATAAGGAATCTTGTATTACATTTTAAAATCTTAGATTTAAAAAGAAAAATTTTTACGAATTCTTAACTCAAAAGAATTTTCTAATTTTCGTGATTTTTCCATATTTTGTCAATTTTTGAACTTTAAATGCTTATAAAAAAAAACTTTGACTAAGGATTTTTAATATTTTTCATCTGCCTTTGAAACAATATACTTTTAATATTTTCTTATGTACCTACCGATATAATTGTACTAACAATAGGCACCGGCCCAAAATCCAGCCAAAGACAGCAGCCCATTGTCCTCTAGAACAGTAGACCACTGGGCCAGTCCGGCCCTGGGTAATATACAGGATGCACCGAAATCATATTATTGTGTCTAGAACGGTTTTCGTAGACGACTGCAATTTCGATCTATTACTCAAACCTAGAATGTCTTTTATACGAGACCATAATATATTATTTTTATATTATAGCAGAGTAACGCTTGCACTGCCAATATCTTTTTTACAAATTTTTCAATGATTGTTCAATCCTATTTTTTAGACTAAGAGAATTTCGTCTCGCACTCTCGCACGACACGTCTTACATATCGCCCTTGTAAGTTATATAAACCTATATTGCAATTTATTAATTTTGTTTTTTCAGTGTTTTTGAACGGATATTCTCAGCAGACGTCTACAGCTTGCGTATATACGCATGTTAAATTCAAAATAATTGTATAGGTAATATATATAATTATTATGTAATTTCGTCCAAATTTGAACTTAAAAGGACTATAAAAATAAACTGTCTATCTGTAATTTTTTAGATTTTTTGGTAACAGAATAAACTACTTACGTGGAATATTGTTTTAAATTTTCAATCCTTAGATATAAAAGTTGAACATTTTATACATTTTTAACTACAAAATAATTATTCAATTTTAAATTTAATAAATTTTGTAAAAATTCGATCTTTAAATGCTTGTAAAAAAAAATTGTGATTATGTATTTTTAATATTTTTCAACTGATATTGTAACAATTTATCTTTGCTGTACATTATTATTACCGTTAAAAGCTGTATATTATTATTTTTCTATAACATAGGGCCGGAGTCGAAGCAATGCGAAAGTAATTCAGTCCCCAGTTCTCGGTTCAAACAGGGGAAAAAAATATGTTTTAATGTATTATCCATACAATATTAATTGTAATACATTTATGTAAGCAGATTCTGGCCGTGACCGTTTTGGAACTTTGATCCGGCCGAATCAACAACGTTCGGTGCAGTGCTAATTGTTTAATCGATATTCAACAGAAATATTCATGATTATTATTATAATTAGATTCGCAAACCATCCGACGTATCAAATAGTGTTCCTCGCACAGTAGGTATATGTATAATTAAATTGCCATTATAAAAATATCAAAATGCGATAGTTCATGATATCGAATAATATATTCTATGCTTACCCTCTGCTTACTGACCATCTGTAATCTGCACGGATGTCATTACGACTAAATACGACGTATTTTGTAACAATTTTATTCATATTGTATATTTGTATCTTATTTATTTGCAGGTTGTATTTATTGTCAGTTATTTTCGAATCGTATGCAACATTTATGTATTTTGTAAGCCGTTTATAATTTATTAATATATTGTTTAAAAATGATCATATTTATAAATGTATAATTTATCGATTATAATACGACCATATTCTGTTTCAAAGTTGGCGCAGATTATGGCAAAAAGCACCTTAGTACGTAAGTATACCTATTGTATAAAATACTTCACACGGAAAAATGATCAATTTATAGTTTACATGACATGTAATCAACAAAATCAAATAAAATAATGTTTTGGATATTTTCCGTTAATTATCACTACCACTATTTTTTTTTTTGGCTTTTCCGTTTTTTTTCTTATGGATTATTATATATTATATTATTTTATATATATATATATTTTTATTAGGTGTATAGTGTATTGACAAACGATGAAATTTCGGTAATATAATGCATAACAATATATTAAGAAATTAACTACCTACCTACTTATAGTTGTCAAATATATTATGGAGGACGCTTGACTGTAATATTATTTGCACATGGTAAATAATATGTTTTGAGGTCACCTAATTATAACCGTTATATTTATAACTATTATAGATAGTAAAATATATTAAGAATAATAGCCCACCTCAATATTTTATTTATTTTTTTGATTTCTCTTCAAATATTATAAATACCTAACGTCCTAACCTCATAAACAGGATGTGACAGGAAGACCTGACAGATGAAATAACGTTTGTTCTAATCAATATTTAATTTTTTTCATATATAATTTATAGTCACTTACCCAACACGTATAACATAAAAACAATTATTATAGATTGATCTCTGGGCAGAAAATAAGCATTTAAAAAGGGAGAGGACCAACCCCGGGAGGTGCTCAAACAGGGATTTTGAAATTACCGATGGAAATTTTTGTTTATAAATCGTTACCATAGGTTTTAAAGTTATTATTATTATTTTAAAATTTAAACATATTATTTATGTAGAGTTGCCATTTTTATTGGGCAACGAAGTGCACGGGATCAGCTATAGTTACATATAAAAACCAAGAATAACAATTTTAGTTATTTTGTAGTAATTTAAAAATATTATTCATGGGCATATGAAACTTTAGGAGTATAATTTTTTTAATGTACTTTTTTTGGCAAAAATGAATTTGACTTACTGTTGTAAATTACTTTATACAATAATATCATCAACTATACTTATGCCCGTAAGCATATAGTCAATGTATGTGTCACATAAGAAAAAATCAATTCAGCCTACTGTATTAGGTATTTGGGTAGGTACCATCAATTATAATAGTAAAATAAATTACTTTAATAGCAACAATATATCATAAAACATACTTAGAAATATAGGCTGACAAACCATCTTCGTTCAGGATCATTTTTTTTCGTAGGTATACATACATTTGTATATATATCATGATTTTATATCATTGAATTCAAATTTATAACATCGTGATCTATAGGACACCTAATGTCCTAATGTACAACAAAGCGGTACCTACCCGTGTGTAGTGGACCCAGTTCTTTTTAAAAATAATATTTTGACGAAAATTATTGTATTAAACTATTTTGATGTGTTATTAAAGAAAATTGAACAATTAATTAATGTTTTTTTTTATTTATACAAAACACACTGGACTCAAATGTATGCTAAAACTTTGGCCAATTTCATTGAAGTCTCGTAGAACAACATCTACGATTGGTAAGCGAGATGGCCGATCGGTTGTATATGAAATTGTAGTTTTTTTCCATTCTTGTGACCGAGTCTACAAAAAATAAATAAAAAATTATCAGATATTAGTTATAAAAATGTTTTTCATAAATATTTTTTACAAAATATGATTCACTTGCCTTGCATTCATCTTCAATAGCAGTGTATTTCATTTTTGGATTCCCTCTTGGTGTAATATCGGCATCATTAAATCCAACTAATTTCAATCCTTTTTTGTATGATCGGTTTTCAGCATCAAAATAACCAATTGATTTTTTACAGTGGTATGTTAAATTCTGACTAGCTGATTCTGACAATAGTTGTAAAAAGCTGATTTGATTGCTATCAGCTTTGTACGATATCTAAAAGCATATATTATTCAATTTCAATTGGTTTTATAATTGTTCACTATTATTTTAACAACCTGTCCAGTATATCCAAATTCAGATAACCAAATTTCTGGTTGAGGATTTCTATTTTCAAAATCTATTGGACCTATATGATCTGGTTGAGGTTTTACACACGTGCTCTTTGTAATCTGATCGCATCGTACGAGTACCGCGTCACGAACATCTCCTTCATTGGGATCCACCCAATATTCTCCTATTAAACGTTTGTATTTTATTATTTGATCCAAAATTATTAAAAACATTTTCCTACCGCTTTCAAGATCGGGATAAGCAGCATATAAATCTTTACATGTCTTGGCTGGGTTATCTTTTTCACCGTTCGGTTTCTTAAACTTCTCAAATGACGTTTTCAATTTTTTATATGCATTGAATATTAATTCGCGTCTCTCTGTTTCTGACATTTTGTCAGGTTGATCTTGATGCGTACCATCATTTGGTCCCTATTTCGATACATGTTAATCTATTTAAAAATAATTAATTTTAATCTTACCTTGCTATGTCCTTGTGTTAATAAAGCTGTTAGTGCAGCCATGTCATATGCCAATGCTTCACCTGGAGGTCCAGGTGGTCCAGGTAAACCCGATGCTCCTGGTGCTCCATCAGGACCTCGTTCTCCAGTTAATCCTTAAATATTTATTATGATTTATTATTTCAACATTTAAAGAACTATACAATAATAACATACTAACCCCTAGGACCAGGTTGTCCCGCTAAACCTTGTAATCCAGGATTTCCATCTTGTCCGGGGGGTCCTAATTAAATTTTCAAATTATTTTTAACTGCTTAAAGGTACCCAATTCATTATTCTAATATTAATTATACTCATAAAAAAGTATAACGTCTATTACCTTTTGTTCCAGGTTCACCAACTGGTCCAGGAGGTCCAGGATACCCATTATTACCTATAGTAAGTAATAATTAATTGCTTGTTGATAAATGATAAGTTATACAATTATATATATAATTTATTTTTTATTTTTTTAAGGCTTTGACGACTGAGGTCAATAGCCTATAGGTTGGTATGGTTGGTACAGTCGGTTAGGAACACGTGTTGTACCTATATTGTGTGGCAAGATTTTTGCGCACTACGAACCCGGGTGGTCACCCATCCGAGAACTAGTTGCAGAGACCGTTGCTTACTCTCAATCACGTAGTGTGATTGATTTCAGCTACTGAGCTGTGCCGAGTCACTTTTTAAATATTAAGAAAATATGTTGTTCTATAGCTATATGTTACAAAGGTTTAAATTTTTAAAATCTTACCTTTCTGACCATCAGCACCTGGGGCACCCGGTAGTCCTTGTAAGCCCATTAAGCCCTTATGACCTGTATAAATTATAAAATCATAAATCATAGTTACATACTTACATTATACAAATCGAAATATATTTTAAATATATTATTTATGTGCGTAAAAAAATTATCAGTGGATGTATATTCAAATATATTGTTTTAATATTGTAATAGTCTATTCATTTTTTTTAATTCTCACTGTTAAACACATTACTTCTTAAACTTTTATAAAAAAACATACATGTTGGTACCACCTATATTCTTTATGTAATACCTACTATGTGTTATGTGTAACATAATATTCTATAATATTATAATTTATAATACCTTTCATTCCTTCAGGGCCTATGTCTCCTTTATCTCCCTTTTCTCCTTGAACTCCGGGAGGTCCTGCTTTACCTCTTTGGCCCTAGAATCAAATCATACCAGAGCAATGAGTTCATATGTGTAGGAACTACAACTAACTAAATTAACTTCTTAAACTTACAGGAGGTCCTTCTACACCTTGTGGACCATTTTCACCGCGTAAACCTCGTTCACCTGGGTTTCCAGTTGGACCAGGTAAGCCTTGTGGACCCTACATTTTAATGTTATAATCAGTATATAAATAGTTATATCAATTTTTCGATAGTAACATATAACTTACAATCATTCCTGGTGAACCTGGACTACCTAGATTACCAGGTGATCCAGGTGGGCCTGAAATTATATAAATTAAACCAAGAAATTAATTAATTTAATAATATCACATTTATTTTGATAGAAAAAAAGTAATACATTGAGATAAGATTTCGATATATTTTGCATATTTTTATTTATATATCGAACGGCTAACACCATATAATCTAGAAATTAGTTGGTCGGGTGTAAAATGATCCCACATTATCCCGCACCGGAATAATGAGCCATGTAAGTGATATATGGTCAGGATTTTTGTACATACCAGTTTGATCGAGTGAATTTTTAGAAATATACAGATGACAAGGCTATAGGTAGGTACCTATACATGTTTTCCATTGTGCAACGATTAAAAATAAGTAATTTTTATTTTAAATTATTCGTATTTTATGAATTATTTTACATGTAGGTACTACGTAAAATTTGTACATTGAAACTTCAAATATACTATATTAAGTTAATTTTTAAATTAGTAATTCATTTTGGTTCCAAAGCAGAATGATGAATGTATTGGTTTTAATGTTTTTATTTTGTTGATATTTTCGACTTTTAAAGTTTTTTTTCGATTTGTGTTTGATCAAATTGTTGTTTTTAAGTCAAAAAACTTGAAAATCTAATAAAGCGTAAAAGAAGTCGTCATATTATGCTGGTGTAGTCACAATTTTTTTTACAGATATTTGAATACCTAATTTTGATGATATTGGATATTTAAACGAAAAATAATGATTTTTCCTCTAACAACTATTATATTTTAATTCAAAAAAATAATTACCGTAGGAATTTGAACTTTTTTGTCATTACTCATTACTCATTATCTACGTTACGTAAGCTACGTATATAATTCTTATTATATTATTTTATTATTATTTTCGATATAAATACAATGGAATAGACAGAATATTTTTACTAATTTAAAGCTATTTACCTAGGTATATTACGACCATATTCACAGCATTCTACGAGTGCAAATTGACCAATAATATAAAAGGGTAGCATTAAATAACTATTGAGAAAATCGAAAAATGACCTCTCTAAAGTACCATTTTGATCCAATTTGTTAAAAGATAGGTTACTATATGTTCAAATCGAAGCATTCCTTCTGGTAGAAATTTTGTATACAGGATAAAAAAAAAATAAATCAATAAAATAAAGACCATTATAAAACCACTAGCTTCCTCTCACGGATCAGAATCTATTATTATGAATAAAATGATAATTTATATTATAATATAGTTATTTTGTAGGTAATTTAAATTTTCCACTTATTATATTATTATTAATTTGGTTTTCTTCTTTTTTTGTGTTTTAGTCCTGGTCTGGCTATTTTTTTTAACATTCATTACTCTAGTTAGTTGTTATAATATTAGAATTAATTAAGATTCTACCTTTATCTCCTGGCCGTCCGCTGATTCCTGGGGCTCCAGGTAAACCAGTAGCTCCATCTTGACCTCTTTCGCCTACAATATATTATACATAGTGATTACTGATTTTAGATAAAAATGACGATTACAACAGTTTACTATTATACTTTAATAATAGGTAGGTAAGTATTAAAAATTCTATGAATTACAAACCTTGAGGTCCCGGAGAACCTGGAGGACCAGCTAAACCTTGAACTCCCTAAATAATAAGCAATCTGTTAATTGAAATTCAATAGTAGTTTTTTAGTAGTTGTATAATACCTGTGAACCATCTGATCCTGGTTTTCCTGGAGATCCTTTGTCACCCTTTTAATAAATTTAAATAAATGTTTATAATTTGTATTTTTATATCCTTATATATATATGCGGCGATCGAGTAGTTGAGTATAATATGTGGAATGTAGATATGTATTTGTTATTATTATTATTGAGATTTTACCATCCATAAATTAATAGAAAATCTATGTATTACCTACCTACAAACTTGTGATATTATTTCTATTAAAAAAGTTAAGTTTTGTTAAGACAATATGAATCTAATATTTTAAAAATTATTTATTGAACGAAAGTTATAATATAAAATATTATACCTAAAATAAAGAAAGTAGTAATAAAATAAGTCCAAAATTGAAATATTGTCTTCTACTGAGCAACACAATAAAATTATAACATTATTATTTTGCTTACTGGTAAACCTTGTGTTCCTCGCATTCCTATTGGTCCTTGACTGCCTGGAACTCCTGTCAGTCCCCTGAAAGAATATCGGAAAAATGCATTCTAAAGTTAAAAGGTTATGCTCAAAACTAATTTTGTTTTTCAACCCTTGTTCAAGATGTATTTTAATATTTTATAGTTATATTACATAAAATAAAATAATATCATACAATATTACCTTTCTCCTACGGCTCCCTGTGGGCCAATTGGTCCTACTGGTCCTGAAGCTCCATCTGCGCCAGTTTCACCTTTGGGGCCTAAAATGATCGAATTTAACATTAATATAAATATTATATTATAAATTATAATATATATTTATTTTTATTGAGTAGATATACGCATGATAGATGAATAGATGATTACAAAATGTATGTTATTAATTATTACTAACAATTAAATTAATATGTTTATTATTCAAAACCAAGGTTTATATTACCATCTAATCCGCGTAAACCTGGTGCCCCAACATTTCCTGGCACACCCTGTTTTCCCGGTTCACCTTGCCATCCTTTTGCTCCAACCAAACCTAAATTAACAATAGGTAACATAATTTGTATGTGTTTTCTATAAGGCACCTAACAGTCTATATATTCTTTACTATAGTATCGTCCACTGATCGATATTCGACCAGAAAACCCATTTTATTGTATTATGCTATACTACTATATAATACCTGGTGGTCCTGGAGGTCCAGTCGGCCCAGGATATCCCTAAAACCATTGATTCAATAATAATATAATCTGTTCATGGTTATCAATAAATGCATAAATAAAGAGCATATTAATTCATAGGATAGGTTATTATTTCTTACCAGTGGTCCTCGTTCTCCAACTCTGCCTGGTATTCCCATTAATCCCATATCTCCTTTATTACCTTGATCTCCACGACTACCTAAAATTAAAATTGCATAGATTCTAAGTCGGCATATTATTGTTATGTATTAGTATTTCGTAAATATCGTATCCATTTGGTGAACACTTTTTTCGTGGAGTATATAAATGGTTTTTTCACCACCCATGTATAGGTATATACTTATGGTTTCCACGAACCAACTATTGAACTTCTACTTCATTGAAATGATTTACAAAGTGAATGCAATGTGGAAGTATACTTTTTTAATTTAATATTAGTTTACTGTAGTATAATATTCTATGTTATAGTTTATTAAAGTGTTTCAATGTTACAATGGGCTCACTCTATAAGAGTAGGTATTTATATGTACATTATACTTTATCCAACATTAAACAAAAAGAAAGTTTTAGAAACAATCGTATTCTCTTATTTAATTGAAACAATCACCTTTTGGACCAATTGAACCTATGGCACCAGGAAGACCAGATTCTCCCATTTTCCCCATTGGTCCGGTATTTCCTTGGTCTCCTTTCATACCTGCATTCAATATATTTTTTAACACTGAATAAAACTGCAATTATAATTTTTATATATAATTAGCTAGGATACTAACCTGTGTCTCCTCTATCGCCTTTTAGACCTGGCATACCTGTGTAGTATTTTAAAATAATGTATTTTTAATAATTTCCTTTTTAATATGTTGTAATATACTCTTACCTACTGACCCCGGTGACCCAGGAAAACCTTGAACACCTTGAGGTCCAAATGATCCTCTCTCGCCGGGTGTGCCTTAAAAAGTAATAGAAGAAGTTAAAAAAATCTACATATTTTCTCCATAGGCATAGGCGCAAATAGCGTTTGAGATTTGGAGGGGCTGAAGCCCTAGGTACTGAATGAAGCATTTATACAAGTATTTAACACCTAAAATTTTTTTTTAGTACAACAGGTATATCTTATAAGTACTGCTTACTTAATTACAATATTGACTGAAAATAAAACTTACTAAATATTTTTTTCAAATGTGCTATTTCATCTACTTATAATAGTTGTCAAAATTATATTTATAATTATACATTATACACCACATAACTTTTAGGAAAACAATAGGAATTATTAATACTGTATGTGTGGCTTTAGAGCAACAAGTAACAACAAACTAATATAATTATAGAACAAATTTTTATTTAAAAAAAATGTGCCCAATACATTTTTAGAGCTGTATTCGTCGGTTGGATTTAGCAAATGTGTTTAATATTATTTCAGTATCTACTATAATATCTTTTTCGATATTCAATATTGCTAAATTAGTAAATCAGCCCTGAGTCATGTTAGCTCTGACATATGTGTTGATCCGTCTCATAGTTGAAAAGGACCTTTCACAAGTGGCCGAGCTCACTGGTAATGTTATTGCCACTTGCATAATTTTAAATAGATTAGGAAATACTTCTTCATTTAGATGTTTTTTGATATTTTCAAAATTGACTTCTTTCATCATGTTTTTCATTACATTAATTTCACATTTTAAGTTTGAAGAATTGATATCAAAAGTATCCTGTACGGCTGTACACAAATATACAAACAAAAACAAAGTAGTTTAAAAAAAAAAACCATGTGTGTTACCAGTACGAGCGTGGGAAGTTAAACTTCTTTTGAATGGTACACGTGAGTGAGTGAAAAAGAAAGAAAAAAATATTAATTAATTTTAAAAATGAGAAGAAGTATCCAGAATTATTTATTATTGATAGTTTTATTATTTTTTTTATATTTTTATTCGACAGATCGATGGATAATTGTTTGTAGTATTGTTTTTATCCAGACAATAGATTTGTGAGTAAATACTAATAATAATAATAAAAACAAATAATAATCGATCATTAATTATTCATATTAATTAGTATGGCCCGATTATAATATATAATACTAGCTGATCCCGTGCACTTCGTCGCCCTTTAAATGTATCAACTCAATATGAGTTATGGACTCAAACTTTGTTCAATTCGTTATTCAATATTCGGTGTATGGTGTTCAAAATGTATCTTATCTTTTCCGTTGCACGGAATAAAAATTCTGAATCGCAGCAGTACATTATCAGGTGCTGTTTGTACGGAAGTGTATGATTTAACTCTAAATTATCAAAGTTATACCAAGTTTATTTTGATATAATACGGTGGATTAATATAACAAATTTGGTTGCTCGTAAAAAATCACAACTCTTAAAAAAATTATGATTGTTGAACTCCTTTTGGGTGTAACTTGCTGGGTGCAACTCAGCCACCCTGGTAGGCAATGTTCAATAATTTGATTTGATGCAAGCTTGTACCTGATCTGCCCGAATAACCAATGGAAACCAATAAATAAATGCTAATTTCTAATGTAGACTGTAACCAATGGCAACTATTAATAAATAAAAATAAAATTTCCAATTTCCATCTTGAATCTCAATGTCCCTGTTTGAGCACCTATTTAAAATGCGAATTTTGAAAAATCCTTTCTTAGCGCACGTCTACATCATAATAGCTATCTGTATGCCAAATTTCAGCCAGATCCGTCCAATGGTTTGAGCTGTGCGTTGATAGCAGTCAATCAGCTTACTGTTTTATATATACAGATAATATATAATAAAACAACATTACCATGACAATATTTATTTATTTACGGACATGTACGCTTTCGCGTTCGTACGGCCGCCCGTTCGTACGCGCCGCCCGTTCGCTTTTTTTTTTCCTCACTACCGTGCGTAAAGAAGTATAACTTCAAAAGTATTTGTCAAATAGAATTCATAATTTATAAATATTGCTCAAATACAAGTTACAACGTACTTTAGACTCCCTTTAACAATAGACTCCGTAATAAGAATGCTTATTATTCTTAGTTCTTGGTAGGTATTATGGTTTATGGCTACAAGTCTACAATAATAATAAAAATTAAAAATAATACCATGACAAATAAAATTTGTTCATTTACGAATTAGGTACATAATCTTAAAAATACAAACACGAATTTTGCATCATAAACTATAATAATACTTAAAAGGCTTAAAAAAAATCAGAAAATGTTTGGGAGGGCTATTGAAGTGTTTGGGGGGGGCTTAGCCCCTAAAGCCCCCCCCTATTTTCGCCTATGTCCATAGGTATACCAAAGTTGTCAATAAAGCTATTTCATGATTTGCTATTTTGATTAATGTATTATACCAACCTGGTGCGCCGGGCTCTCCTGGAGGTCCTGTAGATCCGGGCTCACCTCGTTCGGCTGGTTCACCAGGTGGACCAATTGGACCAACAAATCCTTGAGGTCCTCTTTCGCCAGCAGGACCTAAATTCATTAATTTGTATGTTATTTTAGTTTTAGTTGTTGCGTTTTACTTTTAAAACTAATTAGAACTAAAGTGAGACAAATTAAATTTTAATAAAAGATACGTATTGAATTTCTATGTTTTTACTTTTTATAATGTCAAAATAATTATTAATTTATAATTTTTTTAATGTTATTAGATGTGTTAGGTAATAATAGAAACGAAATTAGTAATAGGCCTGGAAAAATAATGTTTACTCTGTTTTACCTCCTAAACCTATTATTATTATTATAGTGTGAGACATTATACCTTAATAAATAATTGTTAATATTTACCCGGTGAACCGGATGGTCCTTGCGTTCCAGTAGAACCTAAAATAATAGATAATTTAAACAATTTCTAAGGAGTAAAGTTTACTATGTATTATTAAAAATAAAAAAATTTAAAAAAATGACACACCTCGTTCTCCTTTCAAACCAGGTAGTCCTTGTTCACCTCTCAACCCTGGTATACCCTAAATTTACATTATATAAATTACGTTTGTGTTAAATATTATATTTCTTAAAAAAAAAATTATTATAGATATTAGATAGTTAAAAATTGACCATTGTATTATAACCTTGTACCAAATGGTCTTTACCCGTTTATTATAATACCTGCATAAATAATGTTTGTAAGAAGACAACAACTAAAGTCTATAAATCCACTCATGAATATAATGTATATAAATTTACCATTAAACCTGGTGATCCTGAATGTCCTTTGTCACCTCTAATACCTTGTAATCCCTAAAATTTATGAAATGTGTTCAATTAAAATTAGATAGCTTATATTTTTCACATTAAGTTTTAAGTAAATAATTTTAAAATTAAAGACTTACAGTTGGCCCATCGGGACCAGCAACTCCTGGTTCTCCTTTAACTCCTTGTAGTCCTGAATGACCAATAGGGCCTCTCTCGCCTAAAATATATTATTTTTAATAGATTATGGTAACAAATTGTACATAAATATCATATCAAAAAAAAAAAATATTTATTATTAAGTACCAACTCAAATATTATTTTATTAAAAATTTAAATTTTGTTAACACAAAAACATATTATATAGATAAATCATTATTTTAAAAATTATTATTATAAAATATAAGTGTCATATACTTACCAGGAAATCCACGTTCACCTCTAGTTCCTGCTTCGCCATGTTTTCCTGCTGGTCCTTGTTGACCTATATAAAAAAATTCAAATGAACAAATTGGTTATTGAGCTATTAATAAAATTATTCGACAATTTACCTTGTTCACCGTCTTTACCAGGCTGGCCCGGGTTCCCTGGTACTCCAGGTACACCCTAAATTAAAGAAATAAGCAACTTAAATATTAAATACCTACATAATGAATATACTATTAATTTAAATCTTAATCTAGTCTGTACTAACTTGAGAACCAATGGATCCCGGTGGACCAACTACTCCTCTTTCCCCGTCCAACCCTGGCTTACCAGGTATACCTTCAAACATCACGTTTTTATTATATTATGTTAAATAATAATATAACACACTGATATGTATGCTGTTTTTTATTTTAAAGTAATAATAATGTGTAATAAAAATATTATGATTTATACATATATAGAAATTATATTAAATAACTATAAAATCCAATAAACTATGTTCCTCATTTTAGATTCTGAGCGGAGCGATGAGTGTATTGACTTTACAATGATGTGTCTTTTTTTTATAAATTTTTATATTTTTTTTTTGTGTGTGTCACCATTGTTTGGGGTGCAGTAAAACCGCTCCGATTTTTTTCATGAGTATCTTGTTCGATGAGAAAGTGAATCTAGTTGGTGCAACAGTTGGTGCATTTGGGAAGTCAAAATTAATATTCCCAATAGTTTTTATAAGTTCAGGGAAAAACGAAATATAGATTAAGAAAAAACGGATATTTTTACTCAAAATCGGGTTTGGACAAAATCAATTTTGGTTTTATTTGTTACTTTAAAACAAATGACCGTAGATACATGAAATGTTCTCTGAATTATATTAGCATTAACTATAATGTCTATACACGATAACATTTTCAAAATATTATTTTGACTTGTTTCGAGATGTACGGACATTTTCAGTTTATTAAGTTTTTTTTCCTACAAATGTCAATAAAATAGTATTTGTTGGGTCAAAAATCGTGAAAAATTAATACAAGGTTCCTGATGTCTTGTTACAAAAGAAGTTGAAAAAATAGGCACAATTTTTTTAATAATTATTTAAAGTTCCATTTATCAAATTTAAAATCAAAAAAGGTGGGCAAGTGAATGTCACTCTGCTGTACAGTAGGTTACAAGCGAGTCACTGTATAATGGATGGTATTACATTTGAATTCAATGATATAATATCATTGTATAAGAAAAACGATTCTGAGCGGAGACGGTATGTCCTTCTAGGTATAAGACATATTGTCCGGCCCGCAGCGACTCAGCAGAGCACACACTGTTCGCCTGTCCACGCTGGAACGGCCTCCGGGAAGAACTCGGCGCCCACCTGGGACACCCGCCGGGTACCGATGACCTCCCGGACCTCCTGTGCGGGCCTGACTTCCATCTCCTGCCCGAGCGCGCAGAGGAGAAGTCCAGCCTACTCCACAACGCCGCCGAAGGATTCAGGCTGTTCTACAAGATGACCGAGGGCATCCTGTCACTGAAAGAAGAGGAAGATCGAGCAAGGCAAGCGGCCGGCAGGAGGAGGCCTCGCGCTCCTGTCCAGGCCGTCTAGAACACCGAGCAGTCCGTTGCCGCCCACCCGATATCTCCGCCCCCTTTTGGGCTAGGATGTTCGGGTTTGCGGGTCCACGTGCAGGGCCCCAAAAGCCGGACGGGTGGATTCGGAGGGGGCAAAATTTTCGCTCCCGAAGCCGTCAGATGAAAACCGGCCGAGCTAGAACCGAAAAACCGGTAAAAAAAACGCAGTCTCAACAAAGTGTCAATCGAATGTACGAATTGGCAGCCCGGAACGAGAGCACGCGCTCCCAATCTGGCAGCTAGTCATTACCGATGGAAGCAGACCACAGCAGCATCGGGTTCCAGCCAAGCAGAGCCCGGAAAACTGACACGCAGCCAAGCAGAGGTGAACGTCACAATAGAGGCAACCCAAAACCGCAAGTCGACGGTTTACCGAACGGTGTACCGTCTATTTCTCTATTGTATTCCTATGCATACACTGTACGTCCCCCGGGCCTCGCCCGCTGGCAGACACATACTTTACCAGCGATCGCTGTGGAAAGTCTGCTAGTTCGAGGGGACAAATTATGTTGTTATTGATGTAAAATAATTAGTTGTTTTGAGTCAATAAACGATGGAGGCCGGAGGTGAAGTAATGCTATCGCGGTTCCGCCTCCGGTCCTCGATTCAACCGGAAAAAAAAAAAAAAGGTATAAGACATATTATATACTTATCTGTGGTATTAAAAAAAATTGACCTATAATAATTTCCAAATTAACCATATCACAATATCCATTAGGTACTTAAACGCGTTATACATCAACAACAAACCCTGATAATATCATAGATATATAATAGTGTACTTTAGAAGTTTCGAGTAAACACGAATAATATTATACAATCCCAACTTAATAACTAAAATAGTTATTCTAGGTTTTTTATTATGTAATTTTGTCCAAATTTGATCTTAAAATAACTATAAAAACTAACTGTGCTAATGTAGTTTTTAGATTTTTTGGTAACAGAATTAACTGCTAACGTGGAATCTTGTTTTAAATTTTCAATCCTTAGATATGAAAGTTGAAAATTTTATAAATTTTTAACTACAAAATAATTATTCAATTTTAAATTTTATAAATGTTGTCAACATTTGATCTTTAAATGCTTTTAAAAAAAAATTGTGCCTATGTATTTTTAATATTTTTCAAGTGCTATTGTAACAATATATCAGGAGCCTTGTCTTAAATTTTTACACTTTTTGACATAACAGATAAAACTTTATTGATATTCATAAAAAAAATTGAAATATAAAATTGTCCGTAAACAGCTCAAAATATTTTAAAAATTTTATCATGTATAAGAATTATTAAACATTCAGTGTAATTTTCATGTATCTACAGTTATTCGTTTTTGAATTACAGCAAAATAAGAAAATCGCTACATGAGATATCAAGTGAATATCCAATGTTGTAAAGATTTGAATTTCAAACGCTCATAAAAATTTATATTTGACTTTCTTATAGACATTTTTTTTTTTTTTTTTTGATAAAGGTAGATTATCTTAAAAGGAATCTTGTATTACATTTTAAAATCTTAGATTTAAAAAGAATATTTTTATAAATTTTTAACCCCATATAATTTGTTAATTTTCGTGATTTTTCTATATTTTGTCAATTTTTGGACTTTAAATGCTTATAAAAAAAAACTGTGACTAAGGATTTTTAATAATTTTCAAATGTCATTGTAACAATATAGCAGGAGCCTTGTATTCAATTTTCAAGTATTTTTACTCAACAAATAATGTTGTAACAATTAATAAAATCGACATTCATAGATAAAAATGTGATATAGGTACTCCGTAACCCGCGAAAGTCAAGACTCACTGTTGGGTCTTGTTAGGTTTTGTTAGGTTTAGTTAGGTTTAGTTAGGTTTAGTTAGGTTTAGTGAGGTTTAGTGAGGTTTAATCTAACCTAATGCAGCTAACGGCATTCCCCCGTATTATTATTTAGATTTAAATTAATTCGAGAACGGCAGCGTCATCTAACGTCCAAATAACTGGCCCTCGTAATTGCTTAATTTCTTAGTTAGATAGCGTTCCATATACGATTTGCAATCCGGACTAAGGTGGATCTCCTAGACAAACGTTTTGTTTGCAAATAGTTGAGTTGCAGAATTTATATTTTTTATGTCAAGTAGATAATATTGTAGTTTGACTCAAAGATTTTTTGTTTACATTTTTATGTTGAAACACATGGAAACTTATTTCCTTTTAAAAGTACCTATCTATTTTTCAATTCACAATTTGTCATTTTTTATATTTCTTTTATAAAATGCAATTTTGTTTAAACCAATATAATTAACCATCGTTCTGGCAAAGAATATTTTATCTTTATTTTTTAATACCATTCATCAATTGATAAGAAAAAAAAACTTAGCTGTTGTAAATTAAACCTATATCAATTATTTAAATTAAAAGTATTAATGCATATTTTACCAAACTTTAGAGGACCACAGTTAATAAACTAAAGAACCAAAATTTAGTTCAAATTTATACGAAATTACATAATATGTATTAAATAACCAAGAATAATAATTTTAGTTATTTTGTTGTAATGTAATAATATTAGTTAAACTTACCGGCTACCGTATTAATAATAAATAATAACAATATAAATACGAGTATAATATAAAATATCCACACTGACAAATCGTCTCCACTCAGAATTTTTTTTCGTATACAAAGATATTACAACATTTAATTCAAATTTAATACCATCCATTATACAATGACCCACTTGTAACCCCTACTGTACAGTAGAGCGACATCCACTTACTCGCTTTTAGATTCTGAGTGAAACGATGAATGTATTGATTTTACAATGATGTGTGTTTTTTTATTTTTTTTTTATTTTTTTTTTTATTTTTTTTTTATTTTTTTTTTTTATTTTTTTTTGTGTCTGTCATCACGTTTTGGGACAGTAAAATTGCTTCGATTTTCTTCAATAGTACCTTTTCTGATAGGAAAGTGAATCTAGTTGGTACTTTGGGGGGTCAAAAGTAAACATTTTCCAGTAGTTTTCACAAGCGCCGGGAAAAAACAACATAAAAATTAAGGAAAAACGGGAATTTTTACGCAAAATCGATTTTCCAAAAAATCGAATTTGGTTTTTGGTGTAACTTTAAAACAAATGACCGTAGATACATGAAATTTTCACTGGTTGTTTATATTTGCAATTTCTATACACGATAACATTTTCAAAATATTTTGATTTATTTTGAACTGTTTAGGGACATTTTCATTTTTCATTTTTTTTTAGTTTTTTTTTTAGAAATATCAATAAAATTTTATTTGTTGGTTGCGAAAGCTTGAAAATTTAATAGAAGGCTCCTAATATATTGTTTCAAAGGCAGATGAAAAATATTAAAAAACCTTAGTCACAATTTTTTTTTATAAGCATTTAAAGTTCAAAAATTGACAAAATATGGAAAAATCACGAAAATTAGCAAATTATTTTGAGTTAAGAATTCGTAAAAATTTTTCTTTTTAAATCTAAGATTTGAAAATGAAACACAAGATTCCTTATAAGATTATCTACCTTTATCAATAAAAAAATCCCTACCGGACAGTCAAATTAAATTTTTATGAGCGTTTGAAATTCAAATTTTTACAACATTGGATTTTCACTCGATTACTCATGTAGCGATTTCCTTATTTTGTTGCAATTCAAAAACGAACAACTGTAGATACATGAAAATTTCACTGAATGTTTAAATTAGCATTTTCTATACACCATACAACTTTGAAAATATTTTGACTCTTTTTGAGCTGTTTATGGACATTTTCAGTTTTCAATTTTTTTTAGTTTTTTTTTCTATAAATATCAATAAAGTTTTATCTGTTGGGCCAAAAAGTGTAAAAATTTAATACAAGGCTCCTGATATATTGTTACAATATCAGTTGAAAAATATTAAAAATACATAGGCACGATTTTTTTTTAAAAGCATTTAAAGTTGGAATTTTGACAAAATTTATCAAAATCTCAAAAATTATCAATCGTTGGAATTAAAAAATTATAAAATGTTCAGTTTTTATAACTAAGAGTTGAAAATTTAAAACAAAGATTCTCTTAAATAATTCATACTGTAACCAAAAAATCTAAAAAATATATAAACACACTTATTTTTTACAGACATTTTAATTTCAAATTTAGACAAAATTTCATATTTAAACCAAGAATTACGATTTTAGTTATTTTGTTGTGATTGTATAATATTATTCGTGGGTACTTGAAATTTCTAAAGTAATTTACTATATATATCTATGATAGTATCAGGGTTTGTTGTTGGTGTATAACGCGTTATAAGTACCTAATGGATATTGTGATATGATTAATTTGGAATTCATTATAGGTCAATTTTTTTTAATACCATAGATATGTATATAATATGTCTTATACATAGAAGGACATACCGTCTCCACTCAGAATCGTTTTTCTTATACAATGATATTATATCATTGAATTCAAATTTAATACCATCCATTATACAATGACCCACTTGTAACCTACAGTACAGCAGAGCGACATCCACTTACCCACCTTTTTTTTAAATTATACTGTGAAAGTGTAATATTATAAATACTAACCAGCATTGCCTGGAGGTCCTTCTTTTCCTGAATCACCTCTGGGACCTATAAAATAAAATATTGAATTAATATTATAATATTAAGTTTATAATTAATTTGTGATGAATAATAGAATTGAACCAATAAAGTATTTGTGTTCATACTTTACAGAAATTTGCTTCATCATTCTTACTGTGTTTACGTTTAATTAAATTCCTGTAATTAAATATTACTATTTTTTATAAGTTAGGGACCAAATCTTATTACTGTGTAATTTAAAAATAGCACTGTCGCCGTTGTATGACTTGCCGATGCATCTACAACTTAACAATATGGTTCTCAAAATATTACACTATATAATATATATAAAATAAACCAATATAATAATATAAGTTGAAGACTAACACAGACTATATGTATCTAACACAGTCAATGCACTGTGAACTACTATAACAAAGATAATAATGTTAAAGCATCATGCGTAAGTGATAACATTTGTTATTTTTTCAATAAATATTACTGATTATTTACCAGTGGTTTATTTTTATTTAAGTCGTTAGTTAATAGAAAATTATTGAGCTGTATAAACCAATTTGAAATCAATTACTCATAAACAACATCGGCTGCAATACTCGAAGTGTCCACTAAGTTATCTGACATTTATAATTATTAATTATCGGATTATTATTAAAAATGATTGGACGGCGCTACGGATAGGCATTTTAGCTACATTGCGGTAAAGGTGTATGAACGGTAATAAAAAACGGTGATAATTGCGGTAACGGTATAAAGAAATTATTTTTGTACATAAATTCTAAAATTATGACAAAAATATATGTTCTACGTATACTTAGACAGAGTGTTGAGGATTTATCTGTGCAACTCAATTTTTAAGATAACATAACTAAAATCACACAAACCTGGTGCACCCGGGGGTCCGACTTCGCCAGCTGCTCCTGTTACTCCCTGTTTTAATAAAGTAATTTATTTCCATGAGTTACTTGCATAATGTATTTAACATAATATCTATCGTATTGTATGTACAATATAATATATAGTATATACTATAAACTATGAAATGTATATACAACATGTATATTGTATATAAGGTGATTATTTTATCAGTATTCAGTAAATGTATGTATATCTTGAAAACATTTTTATAACATAGGTAATTTAAAATAATGTTTGCATATCATTTCGGAAAATATATTTTTTACTATTTTTAAACATTTTAAGTTTAAAAATATTTTTGTGTTGTAATAACTTCAAATTATGTGAAATATTAATATTTCCAAAAACCCTTCAGTTGATATGGAAAATAACTGTTAAAAGAATAAAGAACCACTATATACATAATATATGTGTTATCGAAATTTATAATGACTTAAGTTCTCAGACATTATATTATTTTAAAAGTAATTTTCAATAATTTGAGACAATTCTGTGATAATTCGTAAATACGACATTTACATATAAAATAAGTCTCTGCTAAATGTTCATGTTGATGAAGTATAAAAGTATTTAGTATATACTTACAGTTAAACCTTTATCACCTGGTGGACCTATTGGTCCTGGTAAACCTTGCAGACCTGGTGCTCCTGGTTCTCCAACCTATTAAAAAAGTGTCTTAAAATTTTTTAAATATTTCTTTAGAAACGTACCATGTTCACTTTGTAAATATTACAGGTACATATTATATTCGTATAATACAATTCAAGGTAGGTAACATGAATTTTTATAAATTATAAGCATGCATTATTACGATTACCTATCAGTTATGATTTATAATATAAGTTATTTAAAATGTTTAAATATGATGTAATTGAATAGCTTTACCTTTCCATCTGCACCAGGTATACCACGCTCGCCTGGCGGTCCAGACTTTCCTGGAGGTCCTGGTTTACCTATAGATCCACTCAAACCTTGAAGACCTATGATTTTTGATAAAACAAGGTAATTATTCAACACATATTTACAAAAAGTCATAGATTATAATCTTTATACCTGTCATGCCCGGCCGTCCAGTATCACCAACAGCACCTACAAAATTTACAATTGTTTTGAGCTTGTTAATTCATACAAATCCTATTTACAAAAAATAATACCTTTTGAACCGGGAGGCCCTTCTAATCCTCGATCACCAAGTGATCCTAAAAATTGTTAACAGTATTATTTTATTCATGTGTAAAATCTATTATGATAATATATAAAAATATCATATGGTGCTGACACTTAATAAGTATATGTATAATGTATACAATATTGAATATACAAACTTGTAAACTGCACATATCTGTTTATTATTATAATTTGTATATTTAATATTCATTAATATTATACTATCTACTATCTACTATCTATGTCAATACCCTTGGTGCCTGGTGATCCATCTGGACCGGGTAATCCACGTTCACCTAAAAATAACAATACAATAAAATATAAACACTTTTGTAAAGTGAAAAAAATATTTTTTTACAATAATAAAGAATAATTAGTTACCGGGAATACCGCGTTCGCCTTGAATTCCGGTTAGTCCTCGAGGACCTTCAGAACCTAAATTAAATTAAATACTATAAATACATTACGAATACCTGAGGACTGATTTGTTTTTTTTAATTAAAATTAACTTGATAGTTTATTAAGATAACACGTATTTTACACTATCACTACCGACTACCATCATTTTAAATAAAAATAATTTATATTATCTACCTTTTCTGCCTCGTTTTCCTTCAGGCCCATCAATACCAGGCAATCCTCTTGGGCCAGGAGCTCCTACATCATACATCAATTTAAATATTATATTTTAATTGTAATCAATACTAAAAACAATTATGTTATCAAAAATTATTATATTAAAGTATATACACACAAAGCATATTTTAAACTTAATATTAACACAATAACACGTCTTACCAGTTTCACCCTTTATTCCTGCTTCTCCTTTATAACCACGCTCGCCATTTAATCCCTTTAAAGAAAAATAGTTATATAATAAGTAGGGCTCGGAACTTAATGCACTTAAAAAGTACTAAATATGCATGCACTTATGCGCTTAAAAAACTACAAATTTGCTCTAAAAATATGCACTTATATTTAATTATTTTACACAACATTTTCATTTGTACAAATATTTTTTTTAAATTTGTAAATAAAAAAAAAAGCAAAGTAATATAAGTTATTAATTTATTATTATTTATATTTTCTAATCATAATTTAAACAAAAAAATAATGAAAAAATCGCTTTAAAAATTAAAAATGTTCCTTGAATAAAAAAATGCACTTCTGTCGAGTTATATTTATATACCTGAAATACCTAAAATCTATAAATGCCATTAACAATAGTCAATAATCATTGAGTTATTTTCCTATAAAAGTATTTATAGAAAATCGTCGTATTTCGATAGCAGGCAGCAGCTGTTTCTATTTTAGATTTGTATAATATTCTATTTTAGATAAAGCTAGCTGTAGTTGTAATTTATATATATATTTATATAATATCATATTAACCAATAGAGGAAAAACATAGTTTTTAATGTCAAATGGAAATTTGAATAATAAGATTCAAGAATATCTAGTAAGGTCTCTGAATATGAATGTATTTATTTTTTTATTTACAAATTTTCATATTAAATATCCATAAATTATAAAATATGCTTTAAAAAATTGTAAAATTAAGAAATATGCTCTAAAATCTAAAAATCACTAAATATGCAAAAATATGCACTAAAAACTTTTGATATGTTTTTCGTAGTGTCTTGAAATGAATTTCTAGCTTACTTAGCAATAAATCTAATGGTTCAAAAAAATCATGCAAATGCAACAACTTCCGAGCCCTAATAATAAGCTATATAATTATTTTAGAGTTAATTATCTATTTTTTGTATATTTATTAATAGGGAAAAATAAAAAAGTATTTTTAAAAAGATTACATTATTTAACTTACATCAGCTCCTTTTATGCCAGGTGGTCCGACACTACCTGTTTCTCCAGGAGCGCCTCGAGGTCCTGGAAAACCAGATGGACCAATGGGTCCACTAGCTCCTAAAATATTTATTTTTCATAATTAGTTTTGTATTCACTATTTATTGAATGTTTACTAATTTAAAAAAATTGATTTTAAATAATGCTTAATATACATTTATAATTATTAATTAGGATACTTTATCTATATTTGTATATATACCTGGACTTCCTTTTTCTCCTTGATTACCATCTTTTCCTGGTGTTCCTGGAATACCTAAATATTTTATTTGGTATTAGTAAATTATTTTCAAGTTAGTAATTTGTCATCATTAATTTCATTATACATATTCGTATAAAATATAAGTATTAAAATAATTATAATACATTTTATTTATGGCTGAAATATAAATTATAGTAGGTATCTATATTGCATTGTGTACATACCTGGTTCACCTGATTCGCCAGATTTTCCAGATTCCCCTCTTGGTCCTTGCAAACCAAAACTACCCTATAATAATTTTATTACAAGAAATATATTTTTTAATTAGTTTTACATTTATAACAATGTAATATAAATAAGATTTGTATTCAAAATATAAATCTAACCATGAAAGATATATCATAGTGTAATTACTATTAATTTATATAATTTTTATGAACACATACCTTAGGCCCTGGTAATCCTAAATCTCCTTTTGCACCAACCTATAATGTAGATACATTCAAAATGAAAGCATATTTATACTTGTATAGGTATTATATGAGAAAATACAGTATAATTTAGTAGAAATACTATTTCTCAATAAGACTAAAAATAACATAATATCTAATAATAGGAGCCTATACCTAATAAATTAAATTAAATTAAATAATAATTTTAATAAATATATAACGACATACTGAACCCGGAAACCCTGGTGGACCAGGTTTTCCAATATTTCCTGGAGGACCAATAGCTCCGTGTAAACCATCAGCACCTATATTTTAAAATAAGATATGGATACATTATAATATTTACCAAGGTATATATAGATATATATTTCATCAATTTTCAAGGATTTATGATATATTATTAAATGAAGAATAATAAATACATTTATAGACTATAAATTATCTTCATCACTTCATCACTTCATCACTTAATTATATTTATATTATATTATATTAACTATAAAAATAACATACTTTTAAATATAAAAAAATTATTAAGATTTTAACGCAAATTGGAAATACATTTGTTTTACTATGGTATTATTATTTATTTAAAATGCATGTTTTGAAAAAAAAATTATAACAACATTTAAAACGATGAAAACTATTTAAAACTTTTTTTTCTTAAATGATTTGTAGTCGACTATGTGAATTATTGCAGAATTATTTGAATTTTTTATATTAATTATATTATATTTATATATAATAGCAAACCTCGAATTCCTGGTGGCCCAGGTGGTCCTTCCCTGCCTCTTTCTCCCCGTGCACCAATAGGACCCTACAACAAAATTAGTAAATTATGTGATATCCGTGCTTAAAAACGATAGGTACAACAACCTCACTAACTAGTATGATTTAAGTTAACAAATTTATTTATTATTTCACTGATCATAATATATCACATAAAAATGTTGATAACCGTTCAAATGATTGAAACTGTTACAGTTTGCGTTAATTATTTATATATAACATTTCAAAAATAATTGTCTTCCTAAATTGACTCAAAAATATATATACTTCACAAAGAATAACATAATTAATTCATTTTTTCTGAGCGAATAGCGATAAATGCAATGAACTATAAATTTTAATGACCAATGGTTTTGCATTGATGTGTGTGTGGTTTTTTTCTGACATATTTAGATACCCTAGGTCAAAAGTAAAAAATTCCAGGTATTTTCAGCAATCGAAAAAAATAAAAAATACTTATAAGGTATTCACAATTTTTTAAGCGGTTGAAGGTAAAATCAGATTGAAATTCGTAAAACTAAAAATTATTCTGTAGGTAGTAAAACATTTAATTTTAATAGCTCGGCTTAAAATTTAAGGCAAAGTTCCCCATAAATTGTTCTTACAGCGAATTAAAATATTAAAAATATTGTACATAATATGAGCAAATTTTTTATTTTTTTTTTTTATGTATATACCTAAAATATAGATATTTGAAGTTTAAATTTGGACGACATTTAATATTTAAACAAATGCCATCGATATTTCTGCATACAACTTTGGTTATTTTGTTGTAATAAAAAATTGTCTGTGCACATTGCACAATGAGAATTTCAAAATATTTGGACTAATTTTGAGCTATTTGAAGGTAACAAATTAAGTAGTATTTATTCACACTACTCTTTACTCGACGGAATTGTTCTAAATAAGTTAGTAACAATAATATATGCGATGATTAGACAACAATTAGTTCAAGATTCAATCCGTATTTCTTTTACAAAAACAAATTACAAATAGACAATAGTAGTATAAATATTAAATGTAATAAAATAAATCTTTAGTAATAAAGATGAATCGTTTTACGTATTGACGTATTAGTACAACGTTAAATACGTCAATCTAATATACAATATTATATAAATAATCTTCTATTTCGGAGCAAAATCAATTTGTGCACCCAATATATTTTAATCGTGTCTAGACCTTACTAGGTACCTAGTTATACTTATAACACTTACTACTGAACCAGTAATGCCGGGTTGACCAGGAGACCCAATAGATCCCTTTTCGCCGATTGCTCCTACAATATTAAATACAAAAAAAATTACTAAATGTATTTAAATAAGAGTTAATCGAATGTGCCTGCATAATATTATTTGTGTATTATAATGGTATATAACAACTTTATTATGTAAATCTTTTTTTACTTTACGTATTAGATAACATTACAGTTGTGAATTAATTACAATCAATTATTTTCAAAAAATACGAAAGTTTTATAGTATGCTCATTGCACTCTGCTTAAACTTTTAAAATGGGTATTTAATATTTATATAACGGTATAAATGTATAATTCATTATAGCATACATTATTATTAAAGAGTATATACATAAAATCGTTTCATTAGAAACAATTCAACTATTAGTACAAATATAAAAAAATTTCTTTAAAATAATATGATTAATTTTATCGTGGAACAATAGTTAATTATAAAGTCATATATTACCTTGTTCACCTTTTGCTCCGTCGATGCCAGGGAAACCTATGTGACCCTAAAATATAAAAATATAAATAGGTACAGTTTTTTTAATCTCTATTATTTATAATTTGTTTTTAAATCAATAGTAATCAATACTTTTGAAATATGATTTTAGGAAATTATTTCTTTATAAGCTCTAATTATTATAATATTCATGACGTTTTTTGATTATTCAAACTCAAAATAAAAAAAACTAAAACTTGTTTTTGGGATTATTAAAAACCAGAGAGGCGAGAGATAACTATTATAGATCTAAAGTGTAATAATGTATGTTAATAGGTATTTTAAAAGGTCGAACAATATTATGACATTCATAGACGATGGTATAATAAGGCACATGAAATAATTGTTTAAGTTTTAGTAAATTATTATACGTATATGTCTTATTAATACATAATATGTCTATAGGTATGTGTGTGCCGGAATGTTTCAAATACCTTCATTCCTGTTATACCTGGCATCAGGTAAACCCTCTAGGTCCAGCAGGGGACCAATAGTACCTGGTTGTCCTGGTTCTGCAATCATGGCTCGTTCGCCCCTAAAAATAATAATTGTATATGAATATTTTAAGACTTTTAACTCATACAGCAATATATCATTAAAACATAATATTAGATACCTTTAAGCTGGGTTCACACTACACCGTGTCGTGTAAAATAAACATGGTTACCACAATTACCAAGCGATGTTTACCAAACAATTTGTATGGTTCGGAACGGTACTAGTACTATCTGGTATTCGTAGTAGTAACCGTACCGACCGTAACAACTGTTTGGTAAAACATTGCTTTGGTAACTGTGGTTTTACCATGATGATTTTACACGACCACGGTGTAGTGTGAAACCCGGCTTTAGGGTTGGACCGTATTGAAATCAGATACAAGTATTGCGGTGAGTGAGAACAGGCTTACCGAAAAACCGTCCAATACCTAAAAGTATACGTTATACACTTGCAAATTTTGGTGGCATTGTCCCGCATTGAACGCAGAACGATACAGATTGTACTTTGTATTACGTAATACCGTTTTTAAGCGGTATTTGAGCAATATAACCAGTATACCTACCGATATAATATGCCAAGACGGTAAAATGAAAAAGTGATTTGAAAAAAACCGTTAACCCTAGTCTACTTGTATACCAATTATTATACAATTCGTACGTTATATTATGAAATAACAATATTAAATATCTATCAATTATTATTAATGTGTCAAATGTTAATAAAATATATTATTATAACGAATTAAGTAATAATATATTAATATACTCAGTATGTTCGAATTTTACACTTACATCCCTACCGGGTAGTCCAGGAATACCTCTAGGCCCAACTGGACCAGCAGGGCCTGGTGCACCACCATCGCCAGTTTCTCCACGAGGTCCCTTTCAAAATATAATTTATATGTTTTAAATAAAGAAAACTTGAAATAAATATTTTAGTGCATATTGTTATAATGAATTTTTAAATTAAGAATTAAATCATACTTGGAATCCTTGGGTCCAGAGGTCCAGGAGGACCGGGAGGTTCCTCTCGTTCAAACGGGCCAACTTGTGCTGAATAGTACTGGAATGGCTTCTGCGTGGATAACCACTATTTATAGGACCTTTATCTAGATTTCCGTGAAATGAGCTAATTGCTGGTAATATGCTGCTACACCATTCCGGAGTTCGGTCCGGAATTCCAGCATTCCTTAAAACATCTTGTGTTTGCTTTTAATTAAGGTATTCTAATTTACCATATAGAAATTAGCCGATTTTAACATGAAAATAAATTGAAAGTAAATAGGTAATTAATATTAGGAATGTTTATATTTATATTAATTATTAACCTGGGACTCCCGGTTGTACCCGGGATCACCTCGTTCACCATATTGTCCAGGTTTCCTGGTGTCGCCTTGAAGACCTGGTTCTCCCTATAAACTATATCGTACAAATTAAGTCAAATATAATTTTTTTGTTTCATAATGAAATGGACTATGAAAAATTAACATGTATTTTACATTTACATATTAAAAATAAAACTAATTTTATAATGTAAAAACTTTCTTTATTTTTTAATCATCTCTTTATTTTACTTTAATAATTATATAACTTATGTCCAATTTAATATTTTAACTTTTAAGTAACCAGTAAGTATACCACAAGTTCATGCAGGTACTTACTCGAATAGATGGAACTGAATAGAATGGTGGTATTGTTGTATCTATAAATTAATTAATTGTTTATTAATATCATACAGCAGCTGATATAGATTAAAGTTATTTTATTGAACAATTAACTTACGTGGTACTTGTTGGAAATCACTGTCTATGTAAACATGAGATTCTTTGAAAACTTCTTGTTTTCGGTTTATGACGGTTTTATTTAGTGGTGATCTAAATGGTGTGTAATTTTTTATTGGTTGTTTAAATGGTGGTTCACTAGTAATTTCTTCTACAGGTGTGGTGAATATATGAACTCTTAATTATTGTTTTATACTCATTAGTCTCTTTATATTTCGTTGTATTATATACTGGTGTTCTAGATATATACGGCATTCAGTAAATCAAATCGTTGAGACTCTCTTGAATTTCTGCGGTTTTTCGGTGGGTTCTTCTGGATTTTCAGCTTGTTTTTCTAGAATTTCAGTGGGTTCTTCTGGTATTTCTATGGGCTCTTCTGGCCTTTCTGTTGGTTCATCTGGCCTTTCTGTGAACTCTTTTGGACTTCCTGTAGGTTCTCCTGGAGTTTCTATGGGTGCTTCAGGTATTTCCATGGGCTCTTCTGGCCTTTCTGAGGGTTCCTCCGACCTTTCTGTAGTTTCTTCTGTTGTTTCTATGAACTCTTTTTGTCCTTCCGTAGCATTTTCTGGACTTTCCTGAGGTGCTACTCGCGTTTCTGGTAGTTCTATTGGTCTTTCTTGAGGTTTGTCCAATATTTCTGGTGGTTCATCTGGTATTTCTGGTACTTCTGGTGGTTCATCTGGTCCTTCTGGTGGTTCTTCTGGTATTTCTGGTTCTTGATCAGATCGTTGAGTAGTTGGATCTTCTATTATTTCACTTGGGTACTGCTCTGGCTGGTGAGATTCTGTGGGGTGTTTTTCGTAAGGTGGTTGTACAGGTGGTAGTAAAGTTGGGGGATAAGAGTCCAATAAAGATTTGTTTATCGATTCACCTAAAATAACTAAATTTTAATATACAATATTAAAATACCTAACTAATTATTTTAAAATATGTTTTTCTCATTATTCATCAAATACTAGGAGGTATTTCTCAAGAAAATGTATTATACAGTAAAATCTGTATGTCCACAAAATATACCTAACTTGTGCTATCAAATATATTTACATTCTGATTTATGACATAATAATATCATCCTGATTCGTGGTGGACAGCCTTATAAAGTCATAAGTAGATATCTATAATAATATACAATGTCAATATACGATACACGAATATTATGCGATCTACCACAAAGAAGTGCTTGAAACGGAACATCAAATACCTACACTCGGAAGTAATCACTTCTTAAATCTTAATGCCATGCGGCAACGTAGCCAGGATTTTGGTATGGGAAGGAGGCTGATAATATTTTATGTATAGAGGAGTCTTCAGGCCTGTTCCTAGGATTTCTCAAAAGTTTGATAAAATGATGCTGTGCGGGTTCCTATAACTTTTGACACTCAGTGGCGTATTTAGGATTTCGCTGCCTACTGGGTTTTTAAAGCCCTCTCCCCCTCTGGTTTTATAGAGTGTCAATTTTTTCACCCATAAAAAAACTTACAACACATGAGATATAGTTATAGCAGTATTATGCAGTATAAAAATCTATCAAGTGCCCGTGATAACAAAATAATCAAAGCAAATTGTAAAATGTATTAATTTATGTTTTATCTATTTATAAAATAGTAAACATAATATTAAAAATTAATATTACTTGAAAAGATTTCGATAAGAGCCGCATAATAGTATAAGGCCTTCTTGCATAAAAATCATGGTTAAAATCAATATAAAATAATATATTCAGAACACGACCAAATCGTCCAATGGTAATAGTTATAATTTATAATTTAAAAATGTCATGTATCTATGATTATTTTTTTTTTTTTAGTTACACCAAAAAATCAAAATCAATTTTATCAAAATCTGAAAATCCTGTATCTTTCGTAAAATTTCCGTTTTTCCTCAATTTTTTTGTGTTCCTCGTCGTTTTTGAAAACTACTGGAAATTTTCTATTTTTGACTTTTTTAAAGTACTAACTTGATTCCCACTAAAAAAGATACTGAATTTGAAAATCCAAACAGTTTTTAATTTCAACTATTTATTATGTAGGTATATATACAAACACAAAAAAATCATCACATATTATTGTAAAATCTTTGGCTTTATCGCTCGGCTCAGAATATAATAATATTATGTATGAAATACAATAATAATAATATTATTGTCATCAGTAATTATTTATTATTATATGCACAAGTAGGTATGTTAATATAAATATTAAATAGTTAGTTAATAAAATTATCAATGGAATAAGGCCTTGTCTCAAAATATTTATTGTTTTTATAAATAAATACCATTTCTGGAAAATTTAAGTTTTTTCCTGTCTGCTGTACAATTTGCCATTTTTCATATAGGTACGGCGGCCCTCTTTCACTAGATACTACGATGATACTAACACCATAGCCCATAAGAAATGTTTAGTTTAGGCAGAGAAAAATAGGTTTTGGTATTCGACGACAAACGCGTATCATATATGGAGATTGATTGCGCGAAATAGCTATTCTTAATAGCTTTATATTAAGATATTAAAAAAACATTTTGCAGCCTATATCATTGCAAATCTGTTTTCGAAAAAAAAGCTCCCGAAAAAAATTTGATGCTCCCCTCCACACTGTAAATACGCCACTGTAGACACTTACGGCAATCTTCGTGCAAATTACAATTCGAATAAATGTATTGTTGCGTCTTACGTAATATACGTTAAGAATTTTCCTAAAATTTCATAGAAGGCTGTCCGACCGTTTATGCCACTACTACCGTCTACCACGAACAGTATATTTTATTCTGTAAAGCACATGTGGCGCATATATGTCACGGGCATTCTGTCATCAAGTCACAAAATCACATTTTTATAAATTATACAGGAGAGCAAAAACAAAACTTGCGTACTCTATTGGGCAAGTCGTACGTACATTAATATCAGGTATATTTTCGGGAATTTAAAAAAGACAATTTTTTGGAGATTTCATGTTGTATCGCCTATCACGTTGTACCTATTCACAAGGTAGTATTGAAACGATATTAAACGGAAAATGTAGTGTCTTTTATAGGAACGTCCGTGACATTTTTCGCTGTACCACGCTGTATAAATATATTATTTTAATACGACAAAAGTATCGTACGTTGGTCGGGGGTGAGTGACGCAGACGTTTTCGGCGGTGGTGGAGGCGGCGGCGGTGGTGGCGGCCGCTTTTGGGAATCTCCACTGTCTTCGTAGTCTTCGTCGTAGTTGTCGCGGTCGTAGTCGTCGGCGTCCATCGCGGCGCCGGCGGCGGCGTTGTTGGCGGACCGGTCAGCGGCCACCGCCGACCCTGGCCGGACGCGTCTATCGTGACGGCGGGCCCCCGGAGCGGCCGCTTCGGCCCCCAGCAGTAGCGCCACGCATGTCAACCACAGCGCGCAGGCCACTGTGCTACTCGGGCCGTGCATGGGACGGCGACGAGCAAACGCGAGCCGTAAAACAATATGGTAAATATATGAACACGGTGGGCGGCGCTCGCAGATATATGGGACGCGTGCTGTACTCAAACAAGCAGCGGCAGCAGAACAGGCCTATGCGGGACTTGCTTTTACGCGACGGCGACGTTGCGGTAAAGCGCGCGAGGCGACACGTGCAATCGGTACGGCGGTCCGCGCCAATGTGAAAAAAAATCGCCGGCGAGCGTTCGACACTGAAAACCGTGTGTGTGCGCGCACGCCGCGCACCGCTCGTACACAATCAATTACATCTATTTATCGTATTTCGTTTCATCATATTATTATTGTATTCCGCCTTTATAATCATCGTAATCTATATAACTCGTGTGAGCGTTCTGATCGCGGATCATGCCCACACACGGAGCCGGACGGGTACCAATGACCCCGCTCAGCCATCGACTCCGCGCGGTCCGAACCTCTGCAAACGGACCGGCGACTTCCGGTAGACTCGCGGCCGACCGTCCGCTGCAGCTGCGTCGGTGATAAATAATATATATTTTATGCAAGCTCCACTCGTTGCGATCGTAATTATTGTGAGATTGACGTGACAGAGTACTCACATATATATATATAAATTTGATCGTGTATGCATTTATTGTCATATTGTTCATGTGTGTGTGTACGGCATACCTTGTGCTGCAGTATGCATGTCCACTGCATCGGGACATCGGGTTGATGGGAATGCATATGGGACGTGTAAAATCAAACTTCTCTATAACCCATACCCACTGAGCTTTCCGTAAAATTTTACTCTTAGTCGAGTATATTATCTATAGGTAAAACTATCGATATATTGATTAATAATCCAGGCATGCTATTCGAGTAGACCGTTCGGGTATACTCGAATTGCCTCCGAAAACACCAGGATTTAAGAGTCGCCGACTGTAGAAAACAGCAAAAAACGGTCTCTTCCGTTTATAGAAAAGGGGTACTTTTGATTTTTTGCATCTGGTTCGAATTTACTAGTATAATACCTAAAATAATTTGGGAACCAACTAGTGTAGTAGGTAGGTACCTGGCAAAGTCCAGGACCTAACTATATAGTGTAGAACTTAACATAATCCCAGACCTAACTACAGTGTAGAACCTGAGATGGCACCTAGTAGGTACTTGGGACACAACTCTGGTGATGATTTCTTAACAATATTAGTTAGATACTAAGACTAAGGTACCATTATAACTAAAATACTAGATCCACCGTGATAAAATAATCACATTGGTAACAAAATCTCTCTACATAGACCTCGAAAATTCAAACACCTTCTCAAATTAAATATCCAACTCCCTAAAATTAGAAGCAATGTTTGAACGGACATCTCCTTTACTCAAGCCCTGTCTTTGTATATTCTATCTTAAATGTATTATAATTTTTACAGATTATAAGTAAGCCTATTAGTTTTCTAACAAACAAAAAAAAGACGTAAGTAATCATGCGATACGCGGACATTTTGACGATGATTGATACACCATACGTGAGTGTGTATTTAATACATAATATGAGCTTGTTTTTTTTTTTTATATAGATTCCTACCTAGTGAATGAAATAATTACAAAATGTTATACTGTTATAGAATTTCCTAGTCATAGAATTTACTGTTCAGTTGAATTTACCATTCATCGATATAATATTATAATCAATTACCGTAGGTACGTTTACGAGTTGTTATTATAGCTAACTGCTAATTACACAACCGTTAATTTGTGTAAAAGTTCAAAGTCCAGTACATGCGATATACACTAATTCGTGTTTCCATTTCAAATGAATAGGTACCTATATATTAAATTATTTCAAACCTTATCTATGATCCATATATTGTCTGATTGTATATGTTCCCAGTGTGGCAGTGTATTTTAAAACGAATATATCTTTCATAATATTCCTCTTCCAATGACCAATTGATATAGTTTTGTCGAGTTCTAATTATGACACCTTCCACCTAAACTTTAGCTGCAAATATGTTATAAGCAAAAAAAACGTAGGTATATTGAGGGGGACACTCCATAATGTAAAATATATTATATTTAATGTAAAAGATTGGTATAGCCACAGAATAGATTAAATTAGATTAGATTTAATCTATTCTGTGGTATAGCTATGGTCAGAATCGGCCTGGTAAAAAAAAACAGATTTATACGCCTCTTATTCACAAACATCCTATAAATCGTTTATACAGCCAGTTCAATGACTTCCCTCTAATCGTGCAAACTATTTGTGATTTGTGTGCTTGCGAGTCACCATCGTCCCGATTGTACATCATATATTTGCCCTAAAGTCTAAAGCTAAACGATAATAGAACCCAGAGACAACTGTCATAGCTGGAATGAAGTAAAATAAGTATTTTCAAATGAAGTGGGTAGGTACCTATTTGAAATTAAATAAAAAATACTATATAAATGTTTACCATTCATAAATGGCACAGTTTTATAACCTGAAACAAAAATGTAATGATAAAAATAATCCATTGATCATTTGAATTCGAAATAATCAATGAATTATTATTTTTATCGAAAACGTTTGATTAAAATATTGGTGTAATAACTAATAACCAAAGGTGGGCAAGTTAATAAAAATAATTAGCCCAAGTTCAGTTAAGTTATGAGGACCAGGGCCCAGGCCCTAGACCTCACGCTTTTTGCTTACATTTAGAGGCCTCGTGTTTAAAAAAAGTTTTAAAATTGGTTTTCGCTCTGGGCCTCTCAAATCATAAGGACGGCTCTGATGAGGACACAAGATCGATAAGTTAAAAGTTAACAGTTAACCAATTAATTTTTAATAATTAAATAATTAACACTGAGTTAAAAATGTATATGGAAAAAAATATTAACTTAATTCAGTTAAAAAAAATTAATTCATTTTTTTTAAATATTATGTGGACCTGTAAGAGTATGTTCATTCTAATTTCCTAAATTATATTAAACAATTTTATTGAACTTTCAACATAATGTACAGTGTATGTATACCTATTTTACTTTACATGATTATTAAATATTTAAATTTTACAATATATACCGACCAACACATCCCAATTAATAATTTAACAAATATTATCTTTTTTTATATCAAATAGCAATTTAAGGTCATATAGGTAATATTATGCATATCTAATCTATTAAAATATATCTATTTACAAAATTATTTTATCAAGAAAAATAACAGAAATGTTTGTATTGGATTATTTTTATTTTTATTTTAGTATTAATATTTACCATTTACGTATAAAACTATAAAAACAAAAAATTTCAAAAATGTTTAACTTGATGGATTATTTTTAAATAAACTGGGGAAAGTTAAGTTATTTCAAATTGTCAACTGTCAATTAACTTGCTAAATTTATAAGTTGATTAGAAGATAAACAAACTATTGTTAAATTAATAAGTTTAAAAAAATAGGAGGCCTCTACATTTCATCCAATCTGCCTTTTTATTTTTATTTTTATTTTAACATTTTAACCCATCAATTGTTCTTATTGTTCTTCTTTGTAACAGATTGAATAAAAAAACATATAAATCAAAAAAAAAACAATTTTCCTAATGTTAGTTTTTTATTTGTTTAACAATAAAAAATCTTAATAAACTAATTTCAACCAAGTTTCAGCATAAAAAGTCTACAACCATAATACTTAATTAAATTTTAAAATATGACTTAATACGCCTGAAGATTTTGATATAGAAATGAAAATGTTTTCATATATTCCCATGTGGTGTAAAATCATCAGGTTTTTTTTTTGGGGGGGGGGGTCTATACACCAGTAAGGGGATTATCTACCGCACCCTGCTATTTGTGCCTACAACAATATAACCTTAACACATAAATTTGATACCTTCTTATTTTGCTATAACAAATTATTTATTTGTGTAGGTACCTACCACTTCAGTCGAGTAACAAATACAATGTGGTCCAAATTCTCATTTGAGGAGTTGAGAAATAACACAAAATACATGTTAATTTATGCACCTGTTTTGATGATGCTAATGATTTGTGTACATGAAAGTATTATAAAGTATTATAGCCTGTTGGCCCTTATCGATTTTATCACCTAGTGGCTAGTTATATTGAATTTCTAATGCAAGATTAGATTAGTTTAAATTGTTTGCATTGATAGTAGAATACATAATATTATATGTATATAATTTTTTAGAACCTTGAAATCAAATAAATTTGTATGTAATTTGTTGAATACTTGAATCAAATAATGCTGGCAGTAAAACAGTTATTGTAATTTGTCCCTAACAGAGAGTATGTAGGTACTTGGTATTGTGTGTTGTGCAAGCTACAGTTTATGACTACTTTCACTGATTATTCGAGGACTGAGGAGTGTTGATCGATAGTTGTGACAACTGTCAAATATTGTGATAAATGAATAGTACATTTGATACCCAAAGTATATTTGGACATAGTTGTAGAGTTAACAAACTTTTTTTTTTGAGGGAGAAGGTAACAAATTTACTTGAAAAAGGCCCAAAAACTCATAAAAATGAAAATGAAAATTAAGTATATATCCATTCAATAAGTAAAAAAATGAAATAAATTTGTAATAAACCAACTACAACTAGAAAAATATCATTAAAATCTTAGCCCTATTAATGAGCTTTGTTGTATAACAATTATTATTTATGAATGCACTGTATTTTATTAAATTAGAATATTGTTTTAACACAAATCAATAATATTGCAAAATATATTTGTTTAGAATATTACTAGGATAAATATAATATTAAAACAACAATCATTTCCAGTTGTCTAAAATATTAATTATAAAAATTATATTAATCTAAATATCAGTTCCCTTTTGACCTGTTGAGCAATATTGTGTGCTAATGAGTGCTAAGGCTTTGGGTATATTTAAGAAATACACAAAGTTCAGACATCTGTGTTTGTGATTATTTCACTTTAATGTCCTGCTGTTATCGAACGTCCGGTGTTTATTTAACATTACAAATTATCTATTTCTATAAATATATGTAATATAGATATTATTATACATGCCTGTATAAAAAATTAAGGTTTCAATAAAATAAAACTTAATTTTAAAAATTGAATAAATCTAAAATATATATTATGTAAATGTAATTCAGTACGGAATATATAATAAAGCTTTGATTAGATGAGAATAAATAATAAAAATACTATTAATTTAACAATTAAAATTATAAATAAATAAAACTCACAAACAATACCTAAAAATAAAATAAATAAAATGTTTATGTACTAAAGTGTGTTTTACACTTTTGTACATATTATTTATTATGTCAGAAATAATGGTGATTTAACACAAGTCTGAAACGTTAGTTAAATTATCAAATAACAAAAAATGACTGTACAATAATACATGTTCAAAATGTTTTTAGAAAGAGAAGAAGAAGATAAAGCACCACAGGCTGAAGATATGTAAAAAATAGAATGTATTTAAACATTATTTCTGATCATAACTAATAATAATTGTTAATTAATGTTACATAAGTATAAAATAATAAAACGATCAATACAATTTATAGTTGACATTGTTTCATAAAATAATATGGCTGGATTTGAACCAAATATTTGACCATAAGTATCAATGACCCTTGGCGGCTTGTTTCGCTGCCATTATCAAAGGAGTCAGACTGGCTAAAGGTCTGGAAAGCTTCAAAAATGGGTGCTGTAAACAATTTATAAAACACACATGGCATAAATAATTTTAAATGTTAGGTTCTAAGGTATATGCAATATTTAAATAATTTAATAGTTTCATAGTTTTATCAATTAACAAATATTGTTTTTTATTAAACAGATTCTCAATAATATGAAAAAAGGTTAAAAGTTATCAAATATTGGTAAAAGTTAATCTTAAAACATTTTTTTTTGCTATCTACTAAATATTATAAAACATGTGTAATAACTGAAAAATGATTTTAATTGATAATACCTATTAATTGTATTCTAGATTATTAACCTACCAGTTCTCATCAAAAGATAAATAATTTTATTATTATAGTAAATAATTTAGAGAGAAAAAATAAAATTGTTTTAACATATTTTATTTTTTATAATCCTTCAAATTTTTAATTAAAAAATGTAAATATTATTCATGTTAGACAATAATAATTTAGAAAGTAAATAATAATCATGATTTTAAACAACTAAATAACAATTTTATGATCAAGACCTAAAAATTAATAAAAATAATCTTAACTGTAGTTCAAAAAATGTTGTCAATATTTCAATGATGGTTTAATTTTGTATAATAGGAAACTTTTTATTTTATTTGAGGATAATATTAAGTTATAGTTTTTTCCAACAGTTTTTGACATTAAGACTATTAATATAAGTTTAATTAAAGAGGCTCACTTAAAATACTTTGATTTACCAAGACATGAATAAAACATTCAAGTGCAAATGTCTGAATTTTATTATTATAGACATCATACTTGTAGTCTATAACATACTGAAGGAAAAAGCGGTATAGATTTATTAATGCTTGCCTTACTAATTATGAATTTACTGCCATCACCAATAACTTAATTGTTGGAGACACGTTTGGGCAAATATTAATATATATTTTTAATTTATGACAACTCGTTTGAGCACAAAATAGTGAACAATGAAAACTAGCTGTTAGGTACAGTTTTAGGTGTACAAGGTGAGCTGCCCATAAATGATCAATATCTATACATATAAAAATAAGTGTACATTTTAATTTTTGAATACATTTTATAACTCAAGATCCACCAAACCGAATTCGTTAAAAATTTCAGGGCATATTAAGATTGATATGTAGATGGTTTCTGTGAAGTTTCTACACTGTGCGATAAGTGGTTCCGGAGTTATGGCCCTCTTAAGTGCACACCTGGCGACATGGCCAAAAAAAAAAAATAATAATAATAGTTTATTATATTTTGGTTGCTATTGGTTAATCGGGCATGTTTGTTGATTTGTATTATTATTTTTTGTCAATATATACATATATATAAAATTGAATGTTTGTGTGTAGATTAGACCTCTGGGAAGAAGATTGGATAATTTAAAAATGGTTAAATTAGGTTTTTTATTATTCATCTGATTTTAGTACGGTTAGGTTAGGATTTTGTATTAATTGATTATATTAATCCACCATAGGTAGAATACGAAAAACTTGGTATAACTTTGATACTTTAGAGTTAAATCATACACTTACGTACAAACAGCACGGGGTCCGTGATCTACAGCTAGAATTTTTATTCCGGACAACGGAAAAATTAAGATTAATTTTGAAACCATACACCGAATATTAAATAACGAACTGAACAAAGTTTGAGTCACATAGAGTTGATACACTTAATGGGCAACAAAGTGCACGGGTTAAGTTAGTTATTTATATAATTGTGTCCTAAGCTGCCCATACACGGTCATATTATATAAATTGAACACCCGTCAATAGAAAGAGGACAAAATTAGATTAGGCGTTTGAAAAAAAATAAATTATTATTAAAAGAATACTCGAAAAATGATTTTAATTTGGAAGGTGGCTTAAACGCTTTTTCGCTTTATCTTATTTACTCTAATGAAGTTTCTTGAAGAACGTATTTACTGAAATAGTTTCAATAGCCCCTTGTAATATAAGTATAGATTTTCCGGACTATATATAAAAAAATCATATTGATTCTGATGCTGATTTTGGGCTACTGAACCAGACAATAGCGCAGGAACAACAAACGGAGCTGAAAATGTACACATACACTTCAGTAGTCAATTTTATAACTCCCACCTTCACATTCACCAAATTATTGAAATACTAATGGACATTCAAGTGAAAACTGATTTAAAAATTAATTAATTAAAAAAAATTTTTAAAGTTACCAGATAATAAGATATAATAGATAATAATAGAAATATTAAAAAACCAAAATTATTTGAAAAACATATATTCTGATTACAAATCTAAAAAAATTTATTTTTTAACATTTTTAATGCAAATGCGTACCAATAAATATGTATTAACAAATAAATTAATAAATTAATGTTTGATATGAAAAATAATTAGAATTGTAATTTGTGTAATTTGTAATTTGACAAAGTTGAGAATAATGGCTTTTTAAGGAAGCGGTTCTAAAAAAAATAGCTCTAACAATATTTTTAAACCCTCCAGCCTATAACATCAGTAGAGAAAGTCCTAAGTGTGAAGGAGTACATTCTATACATTTCTTACATTTCTTTGAAAAAAAGAAATTTATTTTTTTATTTTATTTTTCGTAAATTGTGCGCAAATGAGTTGAAGCCAACTTAATTACACTTGACTTTGTTGTTTTTGCAGTGAATCGTATTTCAGAGATATTTTTTTTTTTTTTTTTTTTTTTTTATTGGATAACCCGCGGCAACATAGGCCATTGGGTGTTGGGAGGGAACTGTAGGTTTTTAGATTGGGTAGGTTGGTACACGTGTGTGTTAGTGGTGGCAGAATTTTTATTGGGGCACCCGTAGGTTTCTGCCATGCCCCGGGTTGGGGGATGGCGGCACTTGTACTCCGGACACTGTGACTTGCCCGGAGAAAAATGCCGCCCAGTGGTCGAGAAGCGAACCCGCGACTGCCAGCGCCGCAGTCGACGCGTTAGACCGCTCGGCCACCTCGTCCCCCAGAGATATTTTTATTATAATATATAATTATCAAATTTGACACAAAGTTATTTTTATAAAAACAGTGCACTATAGTGTTTTTGATATGATCAATTCAATTACATTAAAATACAAAAGACCTAAAGTGATTTGAGATATTGAGAAATTCAATTTACAGCTTGGAAGTTTATCGATTGGTTTACTACATTTAAGAAACATTCATTGTTGATAAGAATTAATTGTAATCAAATAATAATTGATAAATTAGTAAATAATGTAAAATTAACATAAACTTATAATAATATATGTTATATTAGCCTTATAGAATGTAAACGTCTAATGATTTGAATAAAATACAAATTTCATTAACTTACTTTTAAAAGTTCAGAGGCTGATGCACGATCTTCAACCTCAACTTCAAGGCACTGATCCAAAAAGTCTTGAAAAATTGGAGATAATTTTTCCTTTTCTTTGATCTCTGGTTTTCCATTGGTTGCAATTAAATACAACGCCTAAATAAATATTTATATTATATTAAAATATATCAGACAAATAATGGGTTAATTTATAATTTATTCCATACCCTTAAGGGATTTTCATTCAAATATGGTGGTTCACCTTCAATCATTTCAATAGCCATTATACCTAATGACCATATGTCTACCTTAGGACCATACTGTTTACGTGTAACTACTTCTGGTGCCATCCAATATGGTGTACCGACCATTGTAGTTCGTTTGGATTGCTCAGGTGAAATTTGAGCACAAAATCCGAAATCAGCTAATATTAAAAATGTATAGTTAAAACATTAATCATAAATTAACTTTATATTATATTAGTCCAAACATTTAAATTTAATCATTTTTAACATACTTTTGAGTCACAGTTACTTAAGTAGTAAAATATAAATGAAAATTAAAATAATCAAGATTTACTAAATAAGTATTGGATTCAAAATTTTAAAAATAAAGATTTGTGTTTGACTTTTTTTGAATTATCATTTATAATTTTAACAATAAAGAGTCATACATTTTATTTTTATAAGTACTTACTTAACTTAACACTACCATCTAATCCAAGTAAAATGTTATCAGACTTAATGTCTCTATGTATAACTTGGTTGAAATGTAAAAACTGAAGGGCTTGAAGTACTTCTCGGCATACAGAAGCTATTTGACCTTCATCCATACAAGTTTCTGTGACAACATCTGTTAAACTACCGCCTGGTAAATATTCCATTACAACCTAAAAAATAACACAAACTTATTATATACCTAGTTTGATTAATTATACAGTACTCTCATTATTTTTAAAAAGCATAACTTTTTATGAAGTAGATTTTAATTTGGAAGCATTAAAATATTAAAATATAGATAAGATGAGTGAAGTATCAAAGAGTATACTATAACCCGATAAAATTTGTGAAGCACCTACCTAACCTTTAAATTTGTATCAACAAACATTTGTTTAATATAGTTAATATTTGATATATATGTACATCAACAATTTTAGCAATATAGCTTAGGATTATAAAATCAAAAATAAGTTTTGCCACTTAAGTGAAAGTTGAACTATAATTTTTTCACAAAAAAATTTAACGATAAAGTAAATAAGGGTAGGTATTACGTAGTAAAATATCTTCAATAAAAATTGATTGAATACATTTAACATATTCCATTAAATTAAATTGTGAAAAATTATCTTGGATATATTGTGTATTAAAAAAATATTGGACAAAGTCACTTTGCTGTAAGCAATTCAAGGTAAGTAATTTTTATTTTGTAATTATTGTCCTAATTTCAGGTATTTTTCTTCATGATTTTGAAAAATATTGTAAACAGTTCAATTTTTAGCACTTTAAAAAAAATAACATGATTAATATGTAGTTTTGATATTTTTAGTTGCGGTAAAAACCAACCGTATGATGAACCTTGTAATAAATTCTCAATCTATAATTTTACATTTATTATGTCCTCCTCCCTCTCAACCCATAGTAATACCAATTGATGGTAATTGAGTATTTTTATTGCTTCAATACAATGTAAAACCAATATAATTATTGCTCTGCTCAGACCTCAAAATAATGTTTCATTGTTAAACTAATAACATCATTTTGATCAGCATCCAAACTATGTTATGATAACTATTAAGTTGTATTTAATTATATAAATTATTACCCAGAGTTCATCTTGTACTAAATAACTATCTAAATAGTTCACAACATTTGCATGTTTATTTTCTCGCATGACTAGTATTTCATTAATAATAAGTTCTTTCTTTGGTTGTTGACCTAAATTCATTTGTTTTATAGCCACTTCCATACCAGTAGACGTTTCAATAGCCGTGTAAACGGTACCAGATGCTCTGTAACAGTTAAAATGGTTAGCAAATTATCATCATAATATGTTCTACATAATCTAACAAAATTGTAACTTACCCCTGTCCAATTTTTTCCATCTTGGTATATTTTCTATTTGGATCACCTACTGTTACTATTGTTTTTAGTTGTTCTAATATTTCATTATCAGCAACTTTTTTACGACTAGTTGCAGTAGTGTTATTTTTATTTTTATCCAATACTGGTACAGTTCCATTGGTTTGACTAGGCCGGTGAAGTGGAACCGGTGAAACTACTTTAGGTTCTTCTTGGGTGATGGACCTAGGCTCATCTTCTTCTATTGGTTTGGTATACACAGATTTTGTACGTTCAGGACGTACAGATACAGGTGGTGGGGGAGATGTTTGTTCATCTGTTGTGGGAGTTGTGGTCAGTGAGGGACTAGTGCTACCTGTTGATGAAGAAGGCTGGCTGCTACTGACTCCAGAGTACGATGAACTACCTCCACTGTGTGCACCACGCACTAATACTTCAGTAGGGGGAGTACTATTTTGTACTGGATAAAAATTGTATAAAATGTAAAATTAGTATTCTAAAAAGCTATCAACATAGAATTCATTAATTACCAATATTTGTGGCTGTGGTCATATACTTGGAAGTTTTTGATTGTTTACTGGAGTTATCAAACCAATTAAGCACATCAAGAACAGCTTGAGGATTCTTTTTTTGTTCTTGTTTGCTTATATTTGATGTTATTAAAAGTCGAGCCCATGCTTCTGGCATACCCTACATCAATAACATTAATTTTATAAAATAATTTAATACATTTAAATAAATAAAATGTATAAATTGACAAAAACAATTTATTTAAATATGTTCCACTATTAAATATTGGGTAAAAAATAATGATTGTGCCTCAAATAATAATATACTCTATAAACATACAAATAATAAATAATGTTATTAAAGAGTAATTTAAAATATAGTTTAAAAATAGGTATACACATCATAGGATTTTTGAATTGAATTACATTTTTTATAAATTATTAATTAGCTTATATTTTATAAATTATAACTTATTAAGTTAACTTTAAAAAAGAGTTCATAATTTAAATCCATAATAAGTTATAAATAACTTTTTTTTTTTAATTTTTCCAACAATAATAATTATATTACTAAATGTATTAATAAGCAATGTGATTATATGCTGTAACTACTAAAACACCAAACACATTTTATGTCCATCTATGCTACTCACAAAGCTGTTGATGTTACTCACTTTATATGGCAGCTTGAAACAAGAGAAAACAAACACAGAATTCTAGAGACATTTGTCTATTTATCAGTATTAGTTGAGTGATTTAAATTAATGCATGCTAAAAATGTTATCAATTTTTAAAAAAATGCAATATATTTATCATTTATTATATTATAAAATAATTCTAAACATATTTTTATAAAAATGCACCAAAAACACTCATTGAATATTATATACATTTCATTATATTAATTTTATTTATTTAAGATGTAAGTAAGGAGTTAAGAAGCCTATCACGTAAAGAAACTCATGAAAAATATTTAATTTATTATTATGTTTTTGCAATTATATTTTAGATTCTGAGCGGAGTGATAAATGTATTGATTTTACATAGATGTGTATTTGTTTTTTATGTATTTCATCTTCTTTTAGGACAGTAAAAATGTTTCCTAGTAGTTTTAAAAAAGGCCGGAAAAAAACAAAAAAAAAATTAAGGAAAAACTGAAATTTTTACACAAAATTGATTTAGGTTTTTGGCGTAACTCTAAAATATATGACTGTAGATACATGAAATTTTCAGTTAATGTTTAGGATAGGGATAGTATTATAGTAGTCGAGATAACTGAATTGAGGAGACGCCGGTAGTCACGGTATCGAGCAGTAGTAGTGATAACAGAAAAATACCAATGTTGATATCAAAATTTTCTATATATAATAAAATTTTTAAAATATTTTGACTCGTTTTGAGCTGTTTATGTTTATGGAAATTTTGAATTTTGAATTTTTTTTTCTTATAAACTACGATAACATTTTATTTGTTGGGTCAAAAAGCGTGAACATTTAATACAAGGCTTTAGATATATAGACAATAGCAGTTGAAAAATATTAAAAATACGTAGGCACATTTTTTTTTCATAAGCATTTAAAGTTAGAATTTTGATAAAATTTATCAAATTTAAAATTAAAAAATGATTTTGTAGTTAAAAATGCATAAAAGGTTTAACTTTTATAAAATTTAAAACAAGGTCATGTTAGTAGGCTATTCTATAACCAAAAAAAATTTTTATTTAGTTATTTGTGTTCAAATTTGGACTAATATTGAATAATTAGATATTTAAACAAAGAAGAATGATTTTAGTTTTGTGTTATATCGTAAAAATATTATTTGTTGATACTTTAAATTTGTTAAGTATATTATTATAATATATACAAATATGATCATAAACAAATAATAATAATTTAACTTAACTGGCTATCGTATAAATAATAACCATATAAATATAATATAATATATCCTAGGCTGACAAATTGTCTCAGCTCAGAATTGTTTATCGTATACAATGATATTATACCATTGAATAAGGTAACAAGGCAGAACAACACCCAACCCACTTACCGATTTTTTAATTTTGATTCTAGGTATACTATGTTAAAGTATTAAATTAAATTAGACTTGATAATATACTAGATATTAAAAATTTGTATCCATACATACAATGCATAACAGAATAACTGATTTTCATTTTTAAGATTGGAGTGTTACTAATTATTACATTTTGACAGTAATCATATTTTAGGGCTAAGGTAGTACTCTTGATATAATATGTAATCAGCTATTAAATTCAAATAGGACTGTACTCGTATGTTAATTGAAGTTATAATGGGTTTTCATGAATTCAAATAATTTTACTTTGTTGTCTGTGTAATCAGTTACTTAAGTATCTTCAAGAGTAGGTTGATCTAAGATAAAGATATAAAATAAAAGAGGAGAAAAAATACCACTATAGGGTACTACTCCAGCACTTTTAGAATACAGATAAGGTAAAGTAAGATTTAAATTTGTTTTATATATCAAGGATCCCCCAAATATAAATGTTGTATTACATATTTTAAGAATTCTAGTAAATAAAAAAAGTAAACAAAAAAATTGCATTTACATTTATAACAAAACAGCTCAACATAGGGTCCTCAATGTTTTAACTTTTATTTTGGTTATTTTTTCTATACTTGGAAGGCATAATGCATACTTCAAGATTTATTTAATTAAATTATAGCTTTATTATAGTACTTTTTAATGCTAGGTACAAAGTCTGAGTCCTTTACATTGTAACACAATTTTGCATCAGTTTACAAGGGGTCTTCAAAAAATTATAAGGCATTACTCATCAGATAACAATGTTAACAAAAGAATAAGAAACTTTTTTTAAGACAATGTAATTAAAATATTTTTTATTTCTACTCTTACACATAAAGTCTTACATAGTTTTAAATTTATATCCCTTCTAACAAAAAAGCAAAAGTGAAAATTATGACTAAATTTGTTAAGTAGGTAGTTATAATATAATATTATTTTATTTTATTATATTATTATTAAATTTTGTAAATTACTTATAGGTATTTCATTTATTAATTATGATTTCTTTTTTACAAAATCAGTTTTGAAGTAAAATTTGTGATAAATTTCAGCTATTCAGTAGCAATATATTTATAAACATTAATTTAATGACGTATGTATTCTAAGACTCATATCCAACACAAAATTAAAATGTTTAATTAGTTCTAGTTTTGTGAATATTTATATTTTTCAATTTGACTACATAGCAAAGCATATCTTAGCAAAATGTTAAATATAATGTGCAAATTAAACTAGCTTTAGCTAATTTAACTAAGCTTTTTTTTTTATCCATATGACCACATATCAACATGTAAGAATAATGATACTTACAGTAAACTCGCCAGTATGTGCATCAAAGCCTACATGCATGGTATGTTCAAAATTAGTCGGATAAGATATTTCTGGTTTATCTTCGGATCCAGTACCCCGTGTTTTCAGTTTACCAGTAACACGGTTTTTGGAAGTTTTCTTTTTGTGGTCAGAATCTGGTTCTTTTGGTAATGGCCGCATAATGTCCAAATTTGGTACCGAATCCCCGCGAGCAACTCTAAAACTATTATACAATGTAAAATATATAATTCACAATGATCAATATCATTATTATTATTACCTGTTACTCGTTAGACGGACCGGAGGAGCTGGTGGCTTGTCATCATCATCTGACATTTTTATGAATTATATAAAAATATATGACTACTAACTGATTAGCATTAGATTGTTCTAAAACAATAAACAAAAAAAATTACAACATATGTTGGTCTTTTGAAAGACATAATTAGTCTCCACTGATATTTATTTTTTAAATATTTATTGTTTCTGACTCCACCTAAATAAACATTAACTATTCACTATTTTTAGATTACCTTAAACATGAAAATTCTTGGGCCCATAGGTGTGTAAAAATGTAAAATAATCGTTTAATGACACATTATCAACCATGTTCTGTCGTAATTATGTATTTAACACTATTTAAATTTAGCATAAATTAAAATAAAATGTTTTTATCTAGTTAAAACGAATAATAGGAAGCAATATAAAAAATGAAATAAATATCACATCCTGTAAAGATTGCTGATGAGTGATCCTAATACCCAAGATTCATTATCGCAAAAAATCATATCATAATTTTTGTGTTTTGTTGGTTACACTGAAGTATGATAGATGCAAAGACGGGATGGGGACAGTTGGGTCCCCGTGATAAGAGTTAGGTCCCTTGATAAGAAATTATAGCTGATAATCTTAATCAAGAGTTCGAACTCTAACCTCAAATAAAAAAATTGCAAATTAATACCAACCATCAGGCATTGTAAATAGTTCCAGTACGATTTTTGAGTTTATGAATTTCCCACCCTTGTCCAAGACGGAGATACATTATGTATCTGTCATTTATCCGTCTGTCGAATTTTTTGAATGACCGTTATTTAACGGTATTCGGTAAACAGTTGCTAATTTTACGTTTGCTTTGCCGCTGCTGGTTGTACGTTGGTGCTTGCCGCTTGGTTCAGCATTCTAATTTATTACCGTAAGTAAAACTTGTATTTTTTAATTTTTACCTTAATAATAGTTCTTGGATAAATTATTCGTAATGTACCTATTTGAATGTTCATATTTATTCATAGAAGGTTCACACCTAATTAATAATTATTCAATTAGTAAGTACTACATTTGAGTTTTTACCCATTGGCGCAACTATAGACGTACATAAATTACAAATTTTGTAACACAACTTCAACAATTTTATTCATTCATATTTTGTATATTAACTAGGTAATCATATATTGTTATAAAAGAAAAGCTTATATAAAATATTATGGGTAGGTATGTTAATTTTAACTTGTAACGTATTATATTATAATTATAGGTACTTTAGAAGTTACAATTAACATACCTACATTTTATATTAGCTTTTCTTTTTTTTGTGCTGTACTTAGCTAACACTGATTCTGTTTTTATGTTATTTGCAACATCCTTCTCAATATCTAAAACAAACATTCAACCAATTTTTTAATGTATTGCATACTTTAAAAACTACACGCACATGTTGCAGTACTTATTTAAATTGTAACTATCTCTAACAATTTGAACTAACTTGTTTAAGTTAGGAAAAGCCACTTTTTTAATAAAACCGTTGGATAAAAAACATGAATAAATGATTTTATAACAATAACATTTTTGTAATAGCTATTTAACGGAAAAAGTTTTATTTTAAATCAGTAATTTGTTAAATGCTTTGAAAAAATTTAAAGAATAAATGTGTTGGACAACGTTCACAAACCTAGAAGTATACAATTAGTGATTTAAAAACCAAATTGTAAGAATAAAATTGTTAACAAAGTCCTATTAATTATTGTCGTTTAGTGATTTTAACTGTTAATAAAATAATAAATTATTCATTAATAATCACACACTTGCAAAGAACTAATTTGTTGTTGTTTTTAAATGCCCTAGGGCTTTAACAATTAAAGGACCCAAAATTCTTTATAAATATGTAACAATTATATATATTTTACATACTAGATATAATTAATTAATAACTAATCACAATTTATTTGAATAGACACTTTTTCTTAGAAGTATAATTATATTAATAATGTATTATTGTACCTATTAAATTCAGGTATTCTATCATTGAGTTACTTATATACCACCGGTCATTGAAGTTTCTCTTTTGCTCCCTAGTCCGACCTATTTTAGAATATGGATCTGTTATTTTGGACCCTTAATTATCTGTAGATGCTTTAATGGTAGAGAGAGTCCTAACCTAACCGTCTTATGCGGATTGCTAATGAAGACCCCAGCTTCAATTATCCTTAAAATTACTGTTCAACAGGGTATAGCCAATATTATTGTAAATATTATTACTTTCAATTATTATTGATTAATTGTTAATTTTATTATATTTAATACTATTTATCATTTAATTTATTGTAATACCTATTATATTATTCTCATTGGTTTTGGGCCATGGCCTGTATCTTAATAAAAATAAAATAAAATAATATTATATCTAATTGACTAAATTTTGTTAAAAAAACAATTAGATATTTAAAGTTATTATTTAAATGGTAAAATTTACAGTTAAATTAAATATTTATTATTATTATATTGTACATTTTATTAAAAGAAATTTCAACCTTTATTAATTTGTAATATGGCGCTCGTTACAAGTGTCATGAATAAGCAAGAATCAACAAACTATTGTAATAATATGATACAAAACGTGTACTTGTATTTTAAGTTTTCTATTAAATGATTTAATACTGAAAGTAACTATATACTAATTTAGGTTTTATATTACTGTAGTGAGAAAGCAATCGACAGTGACATTGTAATCGTTTAACTTTGTGGTTTGGTAAATAATTACCAGTGACATTTAAAAACTTACTTTTTTGTGGGTGGTGGGTGTTGTAAAAGTGAAATAATTTTATAAATCAGTTCAAAATGCTTATATTCTCGCATATTATATCTCACTTGTTTTATTAGAAGTTCATAGTTTTATACAAAAACAAATTAATGAAATTGAACAAATACATCAATTGAATGTTAAAATAAGTTTTTTTCATTTTGATTTACAAAATAAACCCACTTAAATTATTATATTATTGACATGTTTAAATGTTGGGATCTTTAAACATTCTCTGGAAGGAGGGTGCTTTCATAAACAAGCCACTATGATAATTACAAAGCATTAAATATTAATATAACTAGGTCTTTATTAAATATTAAGTGTAAATTAATAATGATGTCAGTGGTATTATAAAGTCATATTGACACTTAGTTCACTGCCTTCAACAGAATTATCCAGATTGATTGTAACAAGGTATAACATTTTAAAATTGTTCATAATTGCAGATTTGAAAATACTGAATGCTGCTCTCAAAAATCTTCCAAATGTATTTCAAAAACCATGGACCTTGTTGTGATAGTCATTGGTTGGTGATGGCTGTTTTGATGACACTCCTGCAATACCTAACCATAACTTTAGTATTACACGGTTATACATATTTTGATATGTTGTTCAATCCTACTCATAGTGGAAAAAATGGGATTGTTATAGAAAGACTATAGTGTGAAATAGTCACTATTTTCTGATCATTAGTGATTTTTTTAGGCCTTTATTTTAAGTTTATTTTATGATATGTTCTCAGTTATGAATGGTAAATAATTGATCAATTCTTAATAATGTCTTACTAATCTATTAAAACAATATTCAAAGCCACTCATAATATTATGTCTTAAAGCCACTTTTTACTTTTTTTTAAATAATATGTTTACATATTTTGAATAGACTTTCATTGATTTAAGTTATAAGTTATAAATAGTATTGTACAAGACAATTATTTGGATAAAAGTGTTTGTATATGTTAACAACCTATACAGTCATGTTTGGTAAAGTTGAGTTTTCGTTCACTATTTTTAACTTTACTATGTGTGAACTCCTCAATTCAATATATTTTTCAAATAAATTTTTAATAGTATAAAAATTTAACTACAGTTATGATAGGAATTTTTTTTTTGGCCTGTTTGGAAGAATCAATGATATTGATATTGCCTGTGTTTTGATGTTGTATCAAATAACTATGGAAAACACCAAAAATAATTTTAGTAATTGAATTTATTTTGATTGCCAACCTTAATGATGTATGTTTTTAACTGAATCGACTTCAGTTTATGTAAAGTGAATAATTATGTTATAAATCGTTAATATAACGAATGTAATATGTAAATGTAACCAAAAACCTAATTATATTGATTAGTTATTTTATGATATATGTGATACTATAGATCCTGATATAATTTTCAATATTTTATATAGATCTGTCTATCTGCAATTTGCCTGCAATAGTTACACCTGCGATTTACCTGCGAGTACAAGAAAAAAAAGAAAAACGGTTTTTTTTAAGGCCAACCATTTATATTTATACTATTCATTTATATTTCTTTTTGTTACTTTGTTTAATATTTTTTAAGTTTTTTAAAGTTTTTTTCAGCATAGGTACACCTCCATAATGGCGCTGAGGGATCACAATTACGTCATCCCAGCCAATCATGAAGAAGAAGAAGAAGTTGGTGCTCCAAACATCTACCTGCAAGATCATACCTACGCCCAACAGTTGCCTGCAGTTCAGATTCAGGCCCAGCCAGAAGAAGATAGAGAAGCATTAGAAGATGGACCAGCACCTGATGAAGAAGAAGAAGAAGATGAAGCAGTAGAACAAGAAGAAGATGGAGCAGTAGAACAAGAAGATGGAGCAGTAGAACAAGAAGATGGAGCAGTAGAACTTGTTATGCATGCTGAACCAAGAACATATAGAATAATCCCCGGCATTAGACTCAACTCAAAATTTTATGTGGACAATTTGGGATTCAAATATTATCGTAAGAAGTTACTGGTCAATACGATAAATCTAATTTGTGAGCTACGAAAAAATCCCAGAGGTGATTTTATGTGCCATGGTTCAGCATCAATCAGTATTAATGAGAGAGACAACCGGCTTCGTATTGTAACTGATCACAATCATGATCCAGAAGCAATTAACTTGGATGTTCCATTCTTGAGGAATGCACTTGGTGAAAGAGCTGTTGACCGCACAGTTACAACCCCATCAGTTCGCGGTCTTTATAACAGTGAAATAATTAAGTAAGTTAGTTAACTTAATTGTTGT